TTTCGTTTTTCAGCTCTGTACCTAGAGTAAAACAAAACAAATTTAATGTTATTTCCAGTTTAGTAAATCGTTATAGTTTTTTGCAATGGTTATTATGGTATTCTTGTCTAACTTTGTAGATGGAAACCTCTTTGTTGCTTAAAATTCACAAAACCTTTAGTTAGCCATTATCAATTTTACTATTTTTTTTAAAAAATTAGCAGTAGTTTAAAAACAGTATCCACCAATTAAATCCCCTTGATTTTTACAAGCTGTCGGTCAAGAATCAAGATCGCACTTTCAGTTTATAATTCATAATCCATGCGCAAAAAAAACAATGCCAGCGCTAAAATGCATGGTCAGGCTGAGTCAAGATTTGATGGAATCATTTTATCATGTTTTTAAACTGCTAAAAGCTTAATCGTTGATAAAAAAACATGTTGAACCCAAAAGATTTCAGAACAGACAAAGGAAAGTAGAAACTTTTGGAACTGGCAAAAACTGGAGAAAAGTTGGCCACTTTTGTTTTGCGAGTTTTTAGCTGCCTATATATTCAAGATAGACTTTTTGGGATCTGCCAAAATATTTGATGTTTTTAGCTGATATTTACAAAGTACTTACTAACTTATTACTTATCTTTTGACATGTAATCCAATTTGGATTCAAATTCATCTATAGCACACTGTTTCAGAAGAACCTGACCAGACGGGCCGACAAGTACATCTCCAAAAGGCCTGTTTTCTTTTCTTCAATTTGTTATGTCAATAAGAACAGATTTTTGGCATTTGTTTCAAGGGTTTGACGTTGACTGCTACCTTCATTTTCAACAGCGACGCCAAATGTGCGCTTTCTTTTCCTTCCTTTATATCCTCCGCTTTGTGAAACTTTCTGATTCACTAAAAAAACTAATATTACGTATAGGATTGACACTTTGTATTTTGAAGTTTTCTAAATACTGCATAGGACTCTATACACAAAAATACACAAAGATTTAAATATCGTAAATGTCAAAGATTAGTTTAATTGGAAGTCAAAGTAAACCTAGAAACGCTTAAATGCTTATATATTAATCTTTTTGCAGATATGGAATACTGCTGTGTTCAATTCTAAATTGTTTATGTACATGCAGTTATAAATGACTCTTACTGAAACTTTGGTACTTACCAGTGAAATTTTTCCACTTTCACACCATCGATAAAGATCCTGAAAAAAACTTGAACATAGATCACCGTCACCTATTTCTCTTCCAAAGCAGCTCCTTAACTCATCCACTGAAAAATTGCTTGTTTTTCTTTAAAATTTACTTCATGTTTCCTTTTTTTCTGCAACCAGCACAACCAAGATCCGATATAAAAATTTTACATTAAAAACAATAGGTAGAAATGAAAAAACAAATAAAATGAAGAAACATATTAATTTTAAAGATATTTCCGATGCCTTTGAAACTGTTAGCAGTTATCTATGCAGTTCTATTTCTTTTTTGCACCTTTGCTCAAAAGTAAACATTATTAACATTTTCATGGTATCATTGTTGCGTAGATAGGATTTCATAAGGGCTGCAACTTTTCATAATAGCGGATTTTTCAATATACAAAGTCCCTGTTTCAGTTTCAATTGGTGCCCTGTGGTTAATTTGCGCATGGCAAGTACATTTATCCTATCTGTTCTACATTAAATGACTAGATGATATAGAAGGACTACACGAGATAAAGCGACTGCGACTATATCATGTGCATTAACAATATGGTGTGAAACAACTATATGATGTGAAACGACTACATTACATAACATGTAATGTTTCAAAACCACCCCTATAGATAGAGAAACCACCACTCTAGGAAGTAAAATCCCACTACCAAATGTGTTACCCCATTTTTTCCCACACCTAACTCCCTAAAAATTGGATCTTTAATTGGATGTAACAAATATAATGACAAACAAAGGGAATTTCAAATTTAAAAACATATTACGATGTCTTACAAGATTTGATGATGTTTTACAAATTTGAATCAAACATTTCATAAAACATTGTTATTGTTATTAATGTTTAGTCAACAACCTTGCATTCGTTTGGCCACCCAATAAATCATTTGTTTTTATTTCCACTAGCACAACTTAAAGATTGGTAAAAAAGCTGAGTAACTGTAATAAACAGGTAGCAGGGACTGTTTTGACATTTGCTTGATTATTTTGGCTAGGACGTAAAACACTGTCCAGCAATAATGTCCTGTGTTTGGAAGAAACCAGAAGTCCACCAGGGAGCGGTTACAACATCTCTTCCAGAAGAGGAAATAAAAAAATAGAGAGGAAGAAAAGGGCCAGCGGTATATCAACTGTTATTTCTGAAATTGACAAACTTTTGGATGAGCTGATTGAGCTTTTCGAGACAGCCAACTTAGAGCAAGCAATTCAGCAAAGGAGAAAGCTAACAAGGTGGCTTTAGATACTGAGAAGGGGTTTGGAGATGCGAAGACCGTCGATGGAGAGTAACCAAAGAGAAGATCAAATGATGATGGAAAAGGAAAGGAGAAAAGGGTGTGAACAACTGGAAGTGAAAAAAAACAGTTTGAGTTGGAAGAGCGTGCATTGGAGGAAAAAGAGAAGAAGAGAGAGTATGAGGAGACAGAGAGGCCCTGGCAGCGAGAAAGGGAGGAGAAACGTCTAACAGCCATCAAAAGTCAGCTTGAAAGGCAGAATGAGATTGTTGTGCAAATAAACTTACAGTTGCAGCATCAAAACAGTTTAATTATGACACTGATGCAAAATTATAATTCTACAGAATAATTTTAGATGTAAATTTTTATTTCTACCCGCATTTTTGTTTATAGTCATATGTAAGAATCATAATTATAAAATTTTCTCTTCCTCCAACTGTTGTCTATAGTTATCTATTTATCTACTTTCGCATACTAATAATTGAATTTACAAACTTATTACATTGTTCCCCTTGCAAATCAAAGTTCCTAAATTCTGTAAAAAAGTATCTTTTTTATTGCAATTGCTTTTATTTGATTCATCGATGCTGAAAATAATTTACAATATTTGGTGGTTACAAAATTCTGACGTAGTGTTAAACAATAGATTTTCCTGTTGTATGTCAGTAACGTAGTTTGTGAGTTTGTTAATGCACTCTTGTTTGTCTGTAAGCAGTTACCATGTCGTTTCCCATTAGTTGCCATTACTTGTTGTCAGTACCCTATTGTTTCTGGGTATATTGTGTTTGTCATGTGTTTTCCATTATATTGCCATGCTGTTTTACGTTGAGTCAGTCGTTACATAGAGTTGTTGAATACAGTCATCATAAGAAGCTGTGTCGTAACGTTCAGTTGAAGTCGCCCATTTTTGAATTGGGCTTGAAGATGTGGCCTGAGGGGGTATGCAGGGTCTCCATAAATGCACATTATATCACCATTCGGAGAAACAGAATGCTGCTCGAGTAACTGCAAAAGGCCAGATTCTCGCAGCATTCCACTATCATGCCTTCTTCCTTTAAATGGACAATGTAGAAAGACAACAAGACAGTCTGAAGTAGCGACTGACTTGAATTTAATGACATGGACTCTTTTATGCCAATTATAAAGAACTCTCTGGTTAATGCCAGGTCTGGAGATTGGTCTTACAGTTCCAACAATGAATCCCCAGCAGTTTCTTAAAGGTGCTCCTTTTTCATGCGATAGTGTTTCTCTTTGGAAAGAATTCAATAAAAATCCCCGTTGCCCATAAAACATTAGCATCACAGTATCAAGAATCACGCAGATTTCAGGTACTCGCCTAGCAAATCTTGGGATCATGTCCATATATCTACGTGGATAGGCAAAACGTTTCAAAAGAATGCAGATAGCTTCCGTAGTGTCAACTCTAACTCTGTTGTATGTTACTATCTCTTCTGGGAAATGAAAAATTTCTTGTAAATTAAAAATGACTTTTTTCTCAAATCTGAACTTGCCTTTACACTCGTCATTTGTCATTTCATCAAGATCAAATTTTTCGTACTGCCAATATGAAATCTCCAGATTAGGCTTGGGTATATTATCAAATTCTTTGTCATCGAATATGATCTGCTGAAATTTTGAAGTGAGTCCTATAAATTTAAGCCATTAACTTTTCTTTTTGTTCTCAAGAAATTGGCCTGGCTTCCATTCGAATGCTTTTAGGAAGGGAGTGTATCTCTCTTAGATAGGATTTGTTTTGCATGTTATGCTTTAATTAATTGTTTTCCATCATTTGTCAGGATTGATTAGAAGAAAGACTACAAAAACAATCTTATCTAAACAAAGGGATAAAGACACACTGTTGCACCGTCTATTGCTCTAAAAGCAGAAAAATGCACAATGCTCAGAAAGCCCACTGGGGATGGCAACAGTGTGCCCTTCATGGTTTGCCAAAAATGCTTAGCTTGTTTCTTATTCACAATGATATTCTTAAATCTATTTATGAACAATTTTCAGGCCAAAAGACTCAAAACATAAATTACAATTCTTACATCAACTGTAAAAGCTCATCTTCAACCACAATTTCGATCTCCATTGGCTTCTTTTCCTTCTTTCAATTGTCCTTCATTGCTGGTCTGGACCTTAAATTCTTTGAAAATTTGACCAACTTTGTTCATTAATTCTCCAAAACTGAGCTATTGTTGGGGAGACAAACTCTAAAAACCATTGTCTGGAAACAAAAGAATGTGTTTGCTGGTTACTCATTTGAATCTACTCTTTCTAGTTTCACATTGTAAGTTACCTTTTTAGCTGTTGTTTCAATGCACTTTGTATAGTGCTTGGGCCTGAGATACCCCTGGATAGGTTAGTTCACAACTGGATTTTTTGTTTTATAGCATTTATTGGCTTTTTGAATATATGTGTCAAGTCTAAAAAAGGTGTACTTGTATAAGAGGGGACGAAAAAATAACATAAGAATTAAAGAACACTATTTTATGGCTGGTATTTTGTGGGTGGGTATTTTTGGTTTGGTATTTTTGTGGGTGGGTATTTCGTGGGTGGGTATTTCGTGGGTGGGTATTGTGTAGGTGGGTATTTTTGGGTGGGTATTTAGATTGAAAAGGAGAATAGATATTTTGTGATATTTGTTTGGCATTTTTGGTTGGGGGGGGGGGGCAGAAGTTGTAGAGGAAGTATTTCTGTTGCAGAATATGTGATTGAATTATTGGGTATTTTGGGGGTGACAAGAGAGATCCAACAGCATGGGGGTATTTGCTTTGCTGAAAGTGATATTTTAATGGTTTTTTGTTCATTGATACTTCCTAATTCTGAACAACCATGTCACAAGGCAATGAAGTAGGGGAATATTTCATCTTACACCCAAAGAAATCATCCTCTGCAATAACAACATATCTCTTGAAATGTCCGCCTATAAACTGTTCATACTCATGTGAGCAGAATGTTTACCACTACCACTGCAAATTGTGTGATTTTGCAGATGCAAATTGTAGCGTTTAGAGAAGAAAGACACATTTGAAAAAGAAACATAAGATATTATTTGAAAAACTGCCAAGTGAAAGTGTAGCAAGAGACAATCCCCATAAAACAAGATTTGTCATCCCATTTTCTCATGAATCACAACTGTCAACAACAGAAGCAGTTTAGACCATCAATATCTTAACAACACCGGTGAAAGCCACATAAAAACCATGAAATCTCAGATTCCATTGCGGTTAGCCCTTCTAGGCAGTCTGTCATCAAGAAAAGCAAAGTATCAACCTCACTCTCTTCAAATGCTGGAAATGTTCTATTTAGCAATCTGGCGGTCTCCCCTCTATTCCATAAAACAAGCTCTTCAGCAAAGTCTGAAGTAGCTTTAGCAAAGAAAATATACCATCTTATCAAGGGAGCACTGTTATGCCACATCTGGAAGGCAGTCTACAATAAATGCTTGTTTTTAGCCCAGTGTAGGACTACACATAGACTAAAGCCCCTCCTCGGAAAGAGATTTAGAGTTAGTGGTAACAAAATTGAAGACTGTGATGGTCTGCAATTGCTGTGCATGTTTATCAGAGTTGACAAGGTTGATAACTGCCAAAAACTTAATGTCTGGCATGCTCATTGGAAACAATGGTATAATTTCAATTATAGATTAAGATCATGCTTAGGTAGGCAAAGCAATATCATTTGGTGCCATGCTTCAAGAATGGAGACTTTTACAGCACCCGTGTCACCAGAAACTTTTAAAGGAAGTAATCTTCTCCTATTATTTGAAAAAGGCCAGCCTGGTTATCAATCCTGCAATTTTTTTATTACAGATCTCTTGTCAGCTTCATGAAAACATGCAAATTCCTCCATAAGATACTGTAGTCTTTCCTTCTTGAGGAAACTATTTGGCAAAAATTTCCCTTGCAAGATTTATTTGTTAAAAGAGCTGTAACAGAAATGTCATACAAAAAATCATATCTCACAATTTGCAAACAAAAAAATAACACAAACACAATTTCCAATTCCAAAAAATGAAGAGATTGATGCCTTGATTGAAAATTTCAAGGCAATGCATCATTTTTCTGTCTGTGATAATGGGGAAATCGGAAAATTATTTGCTTCATTTTGTTTTAAAAGGAAACCAAGTCCACTTGAATCATTGGTATTTTTCACAGAAACTTGTTAAAGCATAGTAAATAGAAAAGGACTGGTACGGCAACATAACAAAGGGGTATTCAAATCAGCATTGTCCTCAAATGAGAGTTTGAAACGCACCGTCACGTGACATGAAAGTGCACAGAACATCATGGCGGATACCAAGAAGCTATATCTGATGGGAGAAAACTTCAAAGGTAGAGAAGTTTTTTTCTGAGTTTTACCTCCACATTGTGAAACATTCATCAACCTTTTTTTCCAACATTTTCCCCAAAGTTTTTGCAAGTAGTATAGTTCATCAACCTTTGTTTGCAAGTAGTATGGCTGTCAATATTTTAAATGTGTCAAGAAAGTATAATACTGAAGAAGTACCTGGTTTGCAGTACCTTGGGGGATATATTTTCAGAAATCTTCACAAGAAAATATCCAATTAAGGTAAATGGAAAACCAAGAAGGGGCAACAAATACCATCTGTCCTTGAAGCTGCAAAGCAAGATAAGGTTCCAGAGTCTGATATACTTGTTACCTGCTTGAACCAAGGAGGGCTATGAAGTATTTCTAATGCAGTATAAAACATGCTTAGAAAAGCAGAGTTTTATTTCAAACACTGCACTGTGCAGTTAGGAGAAGACCAGGCACCACAATTTAAACACAAGAAATTTGTGGAAATGTGTGTGCAGGACATGGAAATATTTTCCAATTTTCAAAATGTCCTTGGTGAGTCTTCACTTCTTATTGATGCAGAGCTTGCTGAAGAAGTTTTACACTCAATCCTGGATCTTTATGTTAGAGTGAGATGCTACACCTACTGTAAAGGCATTGTGGACAAATACAAATCTAAAGGAAAATTGTCAAAGGCAAAGGGACTGCAAAAAGAAATTAAAAAATCTTCAAATCAAGCAAATCAAACTGTGATGTCTCAGAACAAATTAAGTAACTTTGACTATGTCTTTTTAACTTGGTATATACTTTATGCAAGTTTGTTTGAAAAATTGCACATCAGTTTTTACACATTTAATATAAATCTTTTTCTGGTCGAGACATTATTCATCATCCAAACAACAATGGACATATCTAGAGTCCATAATAAAAAGTAAAAAAGCCAATAACTTCAAACATGGTACTGAGAAACCTCACTTTCATTTGATAGAAACAACTTTCATTATCTGTTGGGTAGAAGGCATACAATGAAATTTTCAAAAAATTATTTGTTCCAATTTCCCCTAATTATGGCCTTATTATTTCAGTTTTTTCACGGTTTATAATATACCACATAAACAATAGGCTAAAGATAAATTTTTCAAATTTTCTCTTTTGAAATTTTTCAAAAAAGTTGTCCTATCTGATGTTATTTTAACATATGTTACCGTAAATTTATCTGCACTAATGTTATCAAACTTATCAAACAGGTCACATTAGATCGACTGGAAAAATATATTAAAGGTTTTATGTAAATGTTAATTTCCAACAACTGTTGTTCAAGCATGAATCATTCAGTGTCTCTGCCATTCTTTCTTTGTACTTGCTTCTTTGGCAGACATTCACCCATTTTTTGCCTGCTTTCACAGAATTTGAGCCTTTTGCATTTCCAATACCAGGTCCTATGTGGCTCTGGATTCTTGTCTGGTTATCATTGTAGCCAAATCCAACAAGATCAGAGTTGTCACACCTCCTTCCTAAGTACCTCTGGCTTTAAAAATATTTTTCCCTTGGGTCTTGGCAAAACCTCTTCGAAAGGATATACTCCATTCCTTCTTGCAACATAAATTTAAATGCCTTCAAAAGACTTTCTTAAGATGAACATTTTAGCATGAGCATTGTCAGTAAAAGAGCCTACAGGCTCATGAACATTCTTTTCCCGTGCTTTTAAGTGGCCTAAAAAGTAATTTTCAAGAAAATTGAATCTACAGTCGTTCAAATCTCTAAATGGGGCAAGAAATGGTTTTTTTCATCAAATGCTCTTTCATTCTCCTTACATTGAGGCAGTCAAAGAAACTGTCAAACATTTTGCAAAACTTTGCTATTTCACAAGCATCAGTTAGGCCCAATTTTATCAAAACAGCAGAAACTGTTGCATTTAGAATTTTCTGCTTCTAAATTCACCCTCATAACATAGTAAGGCCAAGATTATACGTCATATTTCACATGTGTCAAATTCAATTGTTACATTTTGCACATGTAAAATAAGGTGTTTGACTTGATCAAATACGACTGTTTGAATTAGAGTCAACTTCCATAATTAAATTCGTCAGGCTCGGTAGAATTAAATTCGAAAATACGACCATGATACAATTTTGTGTCAAGCGCCGTATTTCACATGTGTCGAATGAAATGCATAAATCATGGATAATTAATTTTGCATGAAATTAGCTATTGAGCATGCGCAGCAGCAAAAAGCGCGCCAAGCAGAAGCAGATTTGCACAAACAAACAAAAAATGGCTGCAGCGCGCGTTGGGAGAAGCAAGTGCAGTGTTCAAATGAGACAAAATATCGGTGTATATGATGCGATTGCCCAGTTTGCACTGTTTGTGGTGTAGCAGAGCCAGATGAAGAGAAGGAAGGCTGGGTGGCTCAGAGAAAAGTAGGGTATTGCGGAGAATGTGACCTTTTTGGTGGGGCTGGAGATCGAGACGTAGAAGATATGGAAGAAGATGTTCATGACTCTCCATCAATCTCTCCAATATCTGGCAAAAATATGAAAATTAGGTAAGTAATCGCTTTCTTATCTTGTTTCTGCTCTTTATTTTTTAGTGATATCTCACCTTTTTAGTGTATTCTCACTCTTTTCCGTATTATGACAACAGACAACTGGTCTTTTTAGGCCCACTATCACATATATAACAACATAGGCCTACCCACCCATCATATTGTGATGATGAATGGCTAATGGGACTGATTTAAGTTTTTGTGATGCCATTGTTAATACTGGGAAAATTTCCATGCCAGCAACTTTGTTGGTGATCATGGCCAGTGTCAGTGTGACTGTATAAACTTTTTACATTAGGGGCAGTTCAATAGTTATGTCACGCTAGGGAGGTGGGTTGTCACATAATTTTGATTTTCACTGCGCAAGCGCAAAACAGTACTCAGTGTTAAATTAAATACGACTTATTCTCCAGTACACCAAAATTGAGGTGTGGATCTCCTAGATCAACAAAGCCTAGGAGCACCTCTGAAACTTTTTCATATATTAGGTTTGCTCTAATTCTCATTTCATCTAAGACAAAGACAACATACCACTGTACACCAAAATACTTGTCAGTTAGCCCAACCAACTCCAAAATCATTCTTCATTAAAACCACTTTTAGGTCTTATCCAGTTTTTATAGCCTCTTAGTGTTCTTTTGCAAGGCAACGTCAGTATTCCTCCTTGCTTTCTTCCAAGAGCATCCCTGACCTCTACATAGGCAGCTGGGGATTTACTATGAAGATACAAACAGAACCTGATTATCATAGGATGATATCTCTGCCCTCTTCTTGCATAAGAAAATAATCTTTTCTGTTCCTGCCAAAGCAACTGCATAAAGGGAGTCATCTCGGTATAGCCATTATCAATAATGGACAAGAAGTCATTGTTCATTTCATTGTCAATGGGAACCGAATTTGCAGCTAATTCAGATTGATCCTTTCAATCTCACTTTCCAGCTTGCACATATTTCAACCTTTTCTTGGCACAACATGGTTAACTGTATGTTGGGATGCTATTTTAATTGACAAATCAGCACATATACCATACCCATCAATATCTGCAACTAAGTTTGACAGTGTGATGTGCCTCATTGATCCATGGTTAACAGTGTATAATGGGTGATCTTCAGGTAGCAATCACCCTTAAATATATTAGCCAAGGCTATCATCAACACATAATTCGAATTTTGGAATAAAACAATCTGGCTCTTGCTTCTGAAGAATAATCCTGTACATAACCCTTTACATTCTAAATTCCATCCTTCCAGTTTCAACCCTTTTAATCTAGCAAGATGCAAAACATTTCTTGCGGGTGGTTTCCAAGTTGATCCCTTTTAGCTCCCGTCTTGGCACTTTCTCTGTGGTATGAGACTTTATTGGCATTGGTAATATAGGGATTGACCTAGGCTTTAATTTTCATTCATCTAAGTAGAAGAAAGATTTTTATGAAAGATGTTATTTGCACATATTTAAGGAAAAATATTATTGAGGAGGTCCATTGCACAATAAAATTATTGGAATCAGCATATGCATTTTGAATGGTTGGTATCTGATCTCTTATGAGAGAAAAACATTTTATAAGGAACATGCCAAGGCAGTTGCATTTGCAAGAGTTCTGTTATAAAAGCATTGTCCATGGATTGACCATGGTTTGAACACAGTTTATGAAATTTTCAAAACACTATTGAAAAAATTCAAATGGCTATTTAAAAGTTTGAAAATGACACAAATAGCGAAATTATACCAGTTTCAAAATTTGCAAGATTTTGTCTTTTCCAAAACTATATGGCACAATAATCTCCAATGACTACCTATGATGTCACTTGAAAAAGTTTTGGAATATTCTGAAAAAGCCAAATAACCGCTTTGAGACTACTTTTCCTCATTTTCCTCTTAGACCAAAAAATCTGTTCCTCCCTGAAATCTTTGATATAGATGGATCAATTTCCGCTTTGCTTCAATCGCTTTCCGCTTAGCAACAAAAAACATGACCACCAGAATATTCCTAGTGCAAATGCGCAGTATCGACAACTTTTTGCCGAACCAGGCTCCTTGATAAACATGGTCAAGACTCTGGTCGACAGATGTCTCCAACAAGTTACGAGTTTTTGTGATTTTAGAGTTTGTCCAAAAAGAGATTAAAGAGATTCTTGGAATAAATTGCTTATTATAGGGAGATACAAGATATGATATTCCTTGGTTTGTTCCAGTGTTACACAGATGGTTTATTTGTTCTTGTGTTGGATAATATTCACATGGACTCCTCAACCTAGCTGGTAGTTTTGCTGCTCCAGATATCATGTCATCAAGCCTTTTTCTTCATGTTTACTGGTGCAAAATCATTACATCTTACATCAGCATAAGGAGAAACTGCTGAAAGATAAAGGCATCATCGTTCTTTCACTGATGCTGTTGTTACAGCTTTTCATGAAAGTACCACTACCAAAGTGGTGCACTGGACTTGTTCCATGGAACCCCATAAAGAGGATGGCTTCCACTTCCATATGCGTGTTCTTCTCAGCAAGAATCAGCGCTGGCAGAAAGTGAAAAATTTACCCAAAGACCGCTTTAGCATTGTCGTAAATTTTTCAGGTCATTCTGGATATCATACTGCCTTTGAGTATGTCACAAAGAGGATCCCAATTTTATGACCAGCTTGAAGCATTCAAGAACAATGCAAGAACCAAGAATGCTAAATGCAACGAAAGCCAACTGTAAAAAGGGGGAAAAGAAGTTGAAAGAAAAAAAGAAAAAGCTTACCAATCTTCAGGTTGCAGATTTGATTATTAAATTCAAGATGCATACCATGCTCCAGAATACCCAACTAACTCCCTACCAACAGCAGCCTGCAATAGCCTTGTTATTGTAATTAAGGGGGAGTTGTTGATGAATGATAATCTTGTAATTATATTTGTTTGTTAATAATATGGTGAAAATTACAAAGTTGAGTTTTCCTTAACGTGAAGCTAAATGAAACATAAAGCTCTACCACAGTTTGGTGTAGGACCCGGTTTGTGCTAATAAATAGCCGACCGTTGATCTCGTTTTTAATGTCTCAAGCATAACAAACTTTACAACGTATTAACAATCACCAGTGGTGTCCCTCCACGCTTTTTCCTTTATTCAACTCCTTTATTTAAAAAACCTTTATTTAAACGACATTACTTTTTCCTCCTAAGGTTTTGAATTTCGTTTATTTGCCGATGATAGCTGTCTCTTATTTAGAGTCACCAGCTACCTCTGATTTAAAAAATATTTCCAGTTGGCTCATTGCTAATAAACTTACTATAAATGAAAAAAATCGAACTTTTTGATTATCTGTCCCAAGCAAAAGAAGTTCAATAAAAAAATAACAATTTCTATTAATGACCAGTTTTGAGAAGAGAAAGATTATGGAAAATATCTAGGAGTCCTGATTAATAAAAATCTATCCTTAGCACCACACATCCCACAAATACAGCTAAAAATATATAAAAATATTGGCATTTTAGCGAAAATGCTGCACAATGTAACACAACAGATATTAAGAAACAAGTATAATGTCTTTATTTTGACAAGTAAAAACGATGGATTGATTAATTGGGGAGCTTCATGCACATCCCATTTAAATACGTTAAAGATCAAAATGGTTGTTAGACTAATAACATTTAAGGGAAGCTGTCATCACAGCAAACCTTTATATAAACAATTAAATACTCTAGATTTTGAAAGTTGCTAAAAACTGGAATGTGCCAAATTAATGTGTGAAATATCAAATACGACACTGATGACATCATCATCATCAAAGGCGTAGGCCTAGTGGCCCTTGGCACCTCTCACAATGGCAGCCCATTTGAGGCGATCTTGAGCATGCCTCATGGCAGTTGCTAGTGGAAGACCAGTGTCTTTTCTAACCTGGTCTTGCCATCTCAAAGGTGGTCTACCTCTACCCCAATTTCCCTGAAAATCTTGGATAAAAATAGACTTCATGTAGTTGGACAAAGTTGACAATCTCTTTAAACAAATCAAAGCTGTACATGACAGGAACACCCTCCAAGCCTTTTGCTGGTAACTTTTCCCAACCACTAGCAATAACTGATTATGAACTAATTATGAAATGTTTGCTATTTTCAAAGCCATTTTCGGGAACTAATTATAAATCTAAACTGATATCTTCAATGGGGGTTAAAATCTGGAATGCAACACCTACTTGAAATAAGACGAGCACCTTCAAAATATATTTTTTCTAAGAAATACAAGAGCTGGCTAATAAGCTCATATTAATAAGGTGAAAACTTTACATTTAATGCAAAACTCGTCCTTTTTGTTAAGGACCTAGTTTTAAATTGACTCACAATTTTGTAAGATTTATGATCTTGTTATTCACTTATGTTCTATGCATAGAAGTGGTATGCCTTAAATGATTAAACATTTTCAGCAATTGTAAGAAATAAATGCAGGAAATACCGTGAAAGGTATTTCATGTTTATCTAAAGGACATGGTTCTAACAATTTTTTGCTCACTTCGCTCTTAGGGAGCCATTTCCTTCAATCACCTAATTTTCCACCCAGGGCCATAAAACCTTATCAGTAGCCCTAATTGTTACTTTTTCTAATACCTTGTTGTATTGTTGTATTGTTCAGTTAGTTAGATTATATGCACGCAACAATTGGTGCACACCTCAAGAGGGTACCTGCTGCATAACTACAATGGAAAAATGTGGCATCTGGTGCACAGAAAACTAACTTTCAATACCAGGCAATCAGAGAAAATTGAAGATAAGTTTTAAACAACACAGCACACCAAGACCATGATTTGCAGCCAGACCAGCTTCCATTGCTGGAAAACAAAAATAACTTCATTTTTTGTAATTATGAAACAAAAAGTAGTGTTCTGTGCAGTTCAGTTAAATATTTTATATTTTCGAAATTCCTCTAATTACAATATCTTGCTACATCTACAGAACAACTAATTACAAAAAATTACAAGTCTCATAAACAAATTTATGATACCTGAAATAAATAATAAGCATGTAGCAAGAGCAGATTTTGTAAGAATAGAATCTTTGGTTTGTTTACATTTAGTTGACTAGCCAATCAGAGAGCTCTATTTCTATTGCGTCATCTGACAGTAATGGCGGAAGGAGATTTGCTGTGGAGAAAACCACACCTTCAGTTTTTCCTCAGGACGAAAATATTCTTAGGCTAAAACTCAAAATTGTTTGCACCCTTATAGAAAGATAAATACTACATACAGTTTCATTGGCACTGAGCTCTGCATTTTCTGCTCTTCGTATCATCGAGAAAATTAATTTTTCTCCTGTCTGAGCACTTCTGGCCTGTTCTCTGAATTTTCAAAGCCAGTTAATTTACAGACCAGATTGTACACATTTTTATCATTGTAAAATTTCCAACACCCTCTTGTCTGTGCTTTAGTCTTTTGCAAACTAACTATAGCCAATCAATGAATAATCTTGAGCATCCACGATTGTAAAGCAACCAATCGGCTTCTGATATCGTGGGTGCTTACTTTTGGCGGGAACACCCCCTATTGTCAAACGTAGTTCAAATTTTCATTTAGGCAGGCGGAAGAAGCATGTTGTAGTTCTTGTGTAGAAATGGCGATCGGCAGTCGAAACAGAAATGAAGTGATTTCTTTTGAAATTTTAACAGAACAAAAGCATGTGTAATGAGGTGAGGCCTATATTTTATTTTTGAAACTTGATGCGAGAGATCAAATTATAAACCTCTGCATTTTATAATGAGAGCCCAGTCTGTACAGCATGGCAGTTTTAGAGAAGGTCTTGTTCTTGCAAGAGCAAAAAAGATGTGTGCATGTAAATTCTATTGCGTGCACATGTCACACTATGCAGACTTGACGACAGCAAGTTAGATTGTGCTTGAGACGCAGTCTTTTTAGATTTTCTATTTTAAAATTGGATATTTGAGAGGATTTCAGGATGTTTAATTGGAAGGTGATAAATCTTACAATGTAAAGCTTACATAATATGAAAACATAAGATGAATATCTTACAAAATTAATAAACAATTGAACTTGAGATATTTTCACATAATCAAAGTTTTCTTGTATGATCTGGCCTACACCTTTCTTCATCTTAATTCTAAAATATATGATTTTAAAATATTTGGTACTTAATTTGAATTCCAAAAGTTTTGAATAAGTATTACAAAAGTAATTGGTAGCAGATATTAGTGAGAGGTTTAGTAAGTGGTCAGGATGGGGGACTGATAGAACCATTTTTTATAACTTTCTAAGATTTGGATCGGGTTCTTATTATCAAGAATAAGTTTTGAAACATGCATCCTGTTTGTGAGCATCCTGTTTTTCTTTACCTTTTTTATGCCAGGCATAATAAATGATTTCAATCTAAGATGCATATAAATTTAAAAAAGGTTATTTTATCCATAGACCCCTACAATGCAACTTTCCAACTTGGTTTCCATAAACGATTTGAAAAACACGTTTTGTTGGTGTCATCCACAAAATATTCAGATGTTTATGAAACTTCTATGAATCTCAATTAAGGAGCCTAGGGCTCAGCCTTACAGACCTACTGATTGCCAAGAATATTGTGACCTTTCCAAAATCATTAACCAGACATTAGTACATAAACTGACAAAAACATTAATGATATTTATTGGAAGTAGCTGTATTTTAAAAAAGTTTAAAAAGTAGTCAATGATGGAAGAAGAAATCTAATATTTATTGTCTTTATTTAAGCCAAGAGAATTGTTTCTTAATATCATTTTGTTATATTTTATGAATCGGTTTCATTTAAAATAGCACATTGCCAGAAGTTGAGAAAGTAATTGTTTTAAAATCAATTATTTAAAAAACAGGTATTGACAGACCTTGCTCTTCAAATGCCCAAAAGAAATTCTAATCAGCATAAATTTTGAAGGGCTTGGCACCAGCAACACATTTTGGCGTGGCACCAGCCCCACCAAAAACTGAGCACCCTTCAAATTTTTTCTGGATTCGCCCCTGATAAATACACTCCCTCATCAAAGTATCTAGACATTTCAACAATTGATTTTACTTTTGAACAAAAACAAATTCAAAAAACATAATAGCTCTCATGCTGTACAATATTATTTGATTTGAAAACCCGGTAAATTGTACTAGGAAAATGAAAGTGAATTCTGAAAACAACGTTTTGAGCACCACTCGTTATTAAGTTATAGAGCAAATTTAGATTGGCAAAAACGACTCCTCAACTAAGTGATAATAATGTTTTTGTGAAATCTTTCCAAGATTAACCAAGACGTTTAAATGTTGCCAACCTTCTCCTCTTTTTGTCTGTTGTCAGTTTTTGTTAAAATATGAAACCTTTGCACTACAAGCTTCAAGCTACAATTAAAAATTATGTTCAACCTCTTTTCATCTGTTATCAGTTTTTGTTAAAATATGAAACCTTTGCACTACAAGCTTTACACTACAATTAAAAATTTTGCTTAACATTTAGTAACATTTAACCAGAGAATAGATGTTCTTCAAAGCAAGCATATCCTTCAGTGCAGGGTCATAAAGCTGCATTCTTTACTGCTGCAAGTCTTGCTGAAATTGATCTGTACGAGGGTACAGTTGTAATTCTTTATCATGTTTCTTGCAATATTTATCAACAGATTTTGAAAGTTACAATTTTCAATTTATAATTTTCTATAAACATTTTGTGCAATTTTGCGTAATGAAGCTAGCCAGTTTTGATTAAAACTGGTTAGGGCAGAACGTTGTCCTCTTGTGTAGCAAGAGTTCCTGCTCATTTTAACTGTGACAAATTTTAATGCTTCTTATTTTTCCACTTCTTTTGCAATTGTCTAAAGTAGCAGCTTTTGGGTATTCAATGATGCCAGCAATTTAATGATAGCTTTTTTGAATTGTTGTGATAAAGCATTATATCTAGAGACTGCTTACGTGTTAACTCATTTTTTTGCAATGTCATCATCTTTAGGAAAACCCTCAAAAAGTTTGCTAACACATCGATAAGATCAAAATTTTTGATGAATAAATAGCTCAATGCCAAAGAAGCACAAGAAAGTTTGAGGAAGTTAATAGAAAGGCTTTTATGAAAATTTCCTTTGAAATTTTTTAAATTGTTTTTCTATGAACTGGTTTCCAACAATCTTCAAAACTGACCAATACTTTTGAGAAGGGATTGTAGTGTAAAGTCAAATGAACAAGAATTTTAAATGACCATGAAAATGCAGTGGGACATGTGTCTTTAATTTACCATCTTCGTATAACTGCGTATTGGTTGCAAGTTTGTTGAGTTACTTCCTTTTATTCGCTTTTCACTCTCCGGCCCCATCAAATTCTGGCTGGCCCCTCTCCCCTAAAGACCCTTTTTAAAATATTCCTTACTTCTGCTGGCAGTGCAATTGAAGTCTGCTGTCGTGTTTAATTGAGAAGCATGTTTTAATGGGTTTAGGGCCTAGTGCCTAGTTGTTGAAGGTTTGTTGAGGACGTGCAAAAAGGGATGAAAATAGTGAACGATCACGTGAAGAACACAAAACGGAGAGCTTAGTGCCAATAAAATTATATGTAAAATTTATCGTTCTATAAGGGTGCAAAAATTTTGAGTATATTTTCGTCACAAGGAAAAAGTGAGGGAGTGGTTTTCTTCACAACAAACCTCTCCTTACTCAATTACTGTCAGATGACGCCATAGAAATAGAGCTCTCGGATGGGCTAGTCAACTAAATGTAAACAAACCCAAGTTCCTTTTGTTACAAAATCTGCCCTTGCTTAATCATGCAAGATTTTGATTGCAGGGAAATTTCTTTAGGAGGAGCTCTCTCAATAGATAAAGTATTTGAGTAGAGAGCACCTTCTTTTCTTAGATGGTTTTAAATAAAATTAATTACTTACATTATATTACCCAAAGAACAACAAAGTTCGCTTCAGAATCAAATTTGATAGTGTGCAAGTAAAACAAAGTAGGAAACAGTGTAGATTGAAGCAAAACCTGCACAAAAGAACTTGTGATGAAATTACAGGCCAAGTGGATCCTATACAAAGTGTTTTTATGTAGAAGGTTTCAAGTTGGCCAAAAATAAACTTGGAAGTTCCTTATCTACAATTCCTTTCATAAAGGTTTTTGCTGTAGCCTGTGTTTTTCATCAAGAACTGTACAAATATACCTACACCAGGTGGTCTAATCGAAAAAGGATTAAATCTCTTTACTTTGTGGAAGAACTGTGTTAGTACTGGGAAAAGTTGAAAATTCAGATGAATAAAAAGGATACAAGACGCCAACTTGTTGTATGTACACATTTTTGTAGCAAACCATCTACAAGAAAGTGTTGTTACCCCTTCCTGACAATGACCAGCACATCACAAGCCTGGCAAACAATCAAAATTTCAGGATGTTAGTACTATCACAGCACACCACAAGCCTGGCAAACAATCAGAATTTCAGGATGTTAGAATGCTTCCAACTGCCAAGATCATTACGTGATATTTGAACACGAGGTTCAAACTTCATCAAACAGATAGTCTATATCTTAAGCTCAAGAAAAATATATTTTCAAGTAATAATTCAGCTGTCTTCATTGTACATTTCAAAGTTATGAAATTTGACATTTCAGAAACTAAGAAACTCCTGTAGAAACTTTAGTGGATCATATATGGCCAAAGTGAGAATCCCTGGGCAACCCTAAAGCCAAGTTTCTTTAAAAATAAATCATAATTTTTAATTCTGATCATAACGATTTTTTGTATTTTGTTTTTAAGACACGTATTTTGTTGCTTCTTTGTTTTGTAGAATGGTTTGATTGAATTTTTCCTTTTTGAATCTGTTTCCATTTCAATTATTTGCAAGGCATTTAGATTCTAAAGTATTGGTATCTAACAAACATGCTCTCTGTTGGTAGAGATATGCTAAAGAACAAACCAAAGAGAAATTTGCAATGATTTGGATTAAATCCGAAACAATTGGGCATATTTAGCATCACTGTTCATCTAGAATTTAAATGCAAGAAGAAAAATAAAGTTATGAATTCAATTCACAATGAAGCTTCCTGTAAACAAAGTTGAAACTTCACAAGCTCGCTGAGTCCAGCATATCTCCATAAGCTGTTTGGCCACCATAATCAGGTCTCTGTTGTGATTAGTTCCGCCCATTGATATGTCTCCTGCATTGAGCATTCTTATCACCAATGATTGCAGATGTCAAACTGTTCATGCTGCTAGCAACACCCTAAATGCTGTTCTCAAAACACTTCTCAGCTTATTCAATCTTCTCAATTAACTTTCTCTTTAATGCTATATCTTTCTTGTCAATATCAAGCAACTGTGCAGAGATACGGTTTGTAAGTTTAGAGCTTCTGAGTGTCTGGCGATGTTTGACTAGAGCCTTGTCCACACTACACAAACTAACCCAGGTTCACACCAGGTTCAATTTAACCTAGGGCGAACCCTGCTTTGTCCACACTTGATTTTCATGTTTTGTAATGTGGACACAAAGTCGGGGCGAGCCCAGGTTAGCTGATGCTACGCATGCGTAGTTAAATTACAACAACAACAAAACAAATTTTCCACAAACACGATCAAGATGGAATTTGACAAAGTTGCAGTTTATTGTATTTTGTCCAAAATATTTTCCCTGGCAATGCAGTTTATTCGCAAGAAACATCTAATGGCGCGGCAGTCAAGATTTAACAGAATATTGGCTGCATCTCGCAAACTGGTTCAAGCAGATCACAGAGGAGGAAGAAATTCGAAGTATGTCTAAAATAAAGCATCACTTTAGAGTGCATTCAACCAGCAGACGTTGAAAGGAAATACTGATGTAAAACCCAAAGTGCTCGTAGCCACTTTCTTCTTCTAGGCGCTGTGCCATCTTTTCGTAAACATGTCTTTTCCTTGTACTGTTATCCAACTGTTCTTGAATCTTTTCGTCTCTCCAGATATGTCATTAAGCTGAGAACCTCTTCGCGGCTCCATGTTGATCTACAATTTTTTTTGCAAGTTTCCATATCTTCATATATTCTATTTTATTTATTTGAACCTTGCCTGGTGTTTGCATGTAAAGTATTTCCATTTTTCGGCGCGCAAAATGAAAACACATTCAAATATGCGCATGCATTAAAAAAACTAGCCCAGGTTCGCCCCAGCTTTTGTGTCCACACTAGAAATCCAGAACAGTAACTTGGGTTCGACCTCTGGAGATGGGTTAAACTAACCCAAGGCGAACCCAGGTTAGTTGTGTCCACACTGCAAAATCTAACCTGGGTTAGCTAAAACCTGGGGTGAACCTGGGTTAGTTTGTGTAGTGTGGACAGGGCTTAGAATTCACCTAGCCTCACCCATATTTTTTGAGCTCCATTTGAAAATAAAGTTCCGAGTTGGTCTTATCCTTCTGCACTGGAACTGGTAGACTCTACTGGCGTTAAACTTTAATTGTCATAGACCTCCTCTTGTGAATCTCTTTCCAGCAAAGTGATACTTTAACTCCCATTCGAGGCATTCGACAACTGGAGATCCACTCCAAATTTCATGACATTCATCATACAAGGCCAGCACTATCCTGCTTCCTCCAAATTTTTCAACTATCAACCACATTCCAAAAGTTGGCTTTGATCTGCTAATTTTAAGCCCTAACCAAAGGCTCTCAACATTTCACTCGACAACACTCAACGCATGCGCAATTTGCAATTTTTTATTTTGCCCACCAAGTTTGTGTTTATTTTGCTTTGTGATATCTTTGGATTTCTGTTTTTTGTTTCGAATAATTTGAAAATGGAAAGTTGCTGTCAATTCGACCCAAGTTATAATGAACGTTCAGACATAAACAAAGAAAGACAGATCAATGCTACCTTTTCAAACAGCGAGGAAGGGGAATTTGAGGGCCTTGATGTTGTTAAAGCCAAGAAAATATTAACGATGCTAGCAGCAAAAAATAAGACTCCCAAACGAAAAGCCCCTAATTCAACTGAACAAAAAGGCGGAAAAGCGAGAACAAATCTGCTCCCTAACAAAAAAGTGGTCACATGCAGATATTTTGAAATTGATTAATGTCTACAAAAACAAGCCTTGTCTTTGGGATATCACTAACATTATATCAATTGAGAGATGTGAGTGAGCAAGCTCTGGATGAAATTGCAATTGGACTGGACGCCACAATTAGCGAAGTCAAGAGGAAAGTGTTTAACTGAAGGTCTTAGCATGGAAGGGAGAATGCCAAAATTTGAAAGATCAAATCTAGACAAGCTACAAATGTAATGTCACATTTTACAAGTGAGCTGCACACACACAATTGGACAACATGTCCATTTATCTAGCCAACCATAGAGCTATTAAAAAAGCAAGGATTTATCAGGCTCACCATGCCAGCTAGATGAATCATCATCTTCAAAAGAAGAGCTGCCTAAAATTCAAGTGTGGCAGCAAAAAACAACAAAAAGAAATGAGCTGCTTGGTCAGTGCCTTTCTGCCTTAAAGAAACAAGAGACAGACGAGAAGGCAAATCCTTTTGCATCTTGTTTTGCTGAGAAACTTGAACGTTTAAGCCTAGCGCACACAGCAGATTTTTGTCGCAAAAGACGAAGATTTTTGTCTCAAAAGACGAAAATCTGTAGTGTGCGGGGCAAAATCGCAAAGATTTTTGTCTTTTACGATTATCTTTGAGATCAAAAATGTTTGATATTTGTCTTTGTCTTTTACGACGAAAGACAAAAATCGTGCAATGCGGGGTCGAAAAAAGCGGGGTCGAAAGACAAGTTTTTAATTTTTAAACCAATAAAACTTGGATTATATGGTCACGTGAATTCTGTGGAGCCTTTCTTTCCCGCCAAAAGAAAAAAGATCGAGAACGCCATGGAGAATACAGAAGACGAAGTCGGTATATGGACAGCAAGCAAAGAGGAGCAGCTTGTCGATCTGTGGCAAGAAAAGGCTTGTCTGTATATGGTTACGTCTCCAGAATATTCAGACAGAAACAAGAAGCTAGCAGCCCTGAACGAAATTGCAACTAAACTTTCTTCAAACGGTGAGTGAATAATTTTGACTAGCTAGCTAGGCTAGTCCTCTTTTCTTAGGCCTACTCAATTTGAAGTGAAACATTGCTGTACGAATTCATGTTTTATTCATTCTAGTGAATCAAGTAAAAAAAAGAATCGCATCTCTGCGCACGCAATATGCACGCTCCCGCAGAATCCCAAGCAGTGGAAGTGCACGACCAAAAAAGATGAAGAAGACTCAATGGATAGAAGACCGCCTTCAATTTTTAAGCCCATATGTATCCAACAGAGTGTCTATTTCTAATTTGCAGGTACAATACAACACTAGCTAGTTGAGTTCATTATTTTTTGTTGCAACCATACTATCTTGCCATGATACTGATCCAGATGTTGAGCAAAAATATTGTTTCAAAAGCTCACGCTGACCCTTAGCACTTAATGAACAGTTTCTGTTTTTTGTCTTCTGTAACTCAGTTAGAGATTTGTCTAATCTCCAGCTGCCTTGAAAAAGCTCATGGTTGTCTCTTTCACTGTCACATGCATTTTTATATGAAGGCTGCTCATCAATCAGCATGTTGTGCAGACAACAAATTGCCAGCACAATTTGCTTAGCCTTTTCAGGCTCCAACATAATCTTTGTCAGCATCACCCTGAACCTATTAGCCATGATACCAAAAGCGTTTTCGACAACCCGTCGTGCTCTAGAAAGCCTGTAGTTGAAAATGTGCTGTTCATGTAACAGTTGTCTAAATGGGAATGGTTTCATGATATCATTTCTCAAGGGAAATGCATCATCACCAATGATATGATAATGACATTTGATGCATGTTTCCCCAAATTTGCTCAGCTTCTGGAAAGGCAATTGATTTGTCTTTCATCTGTTGATTTAGAGGCGATGTTTCAAAAAGTCCAGCATCACCATTTCTTCCACTTGCACCAACATCAACAAATATCAACTTGTAGTCATAACTTGCCAATGCTAGAAGGACTATGCTGAAATATCCCTTGTAGTTGAAGTACTCTGATCCAGACATTTTTGGTTGTTTGATTGCAATGTGTTTGCCATCTAATGCACCAACACAAAAAGGATAGTCCCATAAATTGTAGAAACCATCACTGATTGTTTTCCATTGATGAGATGTGCTTGGAATCTAAAATACAAAAATATTAAATTTTAGTCTTCAACTGAAAGTTTATCTGAGCCACAGCTTAACACTGGTGACAGTGACTGTGATGGAGACTTGGACGACAATGATGCCCCTGCTGCAGAGACACCAGTTTCAACAAGCAGGCCACTGGCTGCTGTTAAAAAATCCAAAACTGCAAAGCAGAAAAAGGAAGAGGAAGAACTCTCCATTCTGAAGCCTCTTGCTTCATCTTTCTCTGCAGATGAAAATTTAGCTGCAAAAAAGGATGCAAAGCCAAGCCCTTCAGCTGCCTTTGGGGAATACGTTACACATGCTTTGTCTGTGATGGATGAGAAAACAAGACTTGTTGCAATGAACAACATTCAAAATGCTCTTTTTCAGGCACAGATGGGCTCTTTCTCGAATGAATTCAACAACCCATATCATGCTGGTCAACATGCTAGAATGCAGTCTTTCAGGCAGTCACTTGACCAGCAAGATATGAGTGAAGGGCCATCGTACGGACAATTCTAATCTTTAAAATTCATACAGTATATTGCTTTCACTGCACTCTTCAATGTTATGTGAGTTGGTTTTAATTAGCACATTAAATATTGTATTGAAAACCAAAAAGTAGAAAACAAAAAATGTTATGTACCTTAAGATATCTATCCTTAAGATTCTGATAAATTGCATCACAAGTTTCTGTCACTATTGATGAAATTGTTCTTTCTCCAAGTCTATATGAAAATCCCAGGCTGTGAAATGACTCTCCTGTAAAGATATGCAACATCTTATTATACCAATCAATATCTAAAATGATATGATTACCTCAATTTCTCCATGTAAGATTATCAGATTTATGATTGCATTCATTTTGATGATACTCAATTCAAAATGCTCATTATGATTGGCATTAAAGGTGAAATGGTTTGTGAAAGATATCAATTAGTAAGAAGTATTGTCATTATTGTTATTAAGTATTGCTACGAACTCTGTAGAAGAAACATTTAGAATATTTAAAGTTATTTTTATTATTCACAAATATATTTTTACTTTTCTCATTTGTATCCTATATTTTCTCTTTGAATCAAGCTGGCAGACTATTGTGAAATCTCACCTGTTGCTAAGTATCGTAGTGTGACTGCAAGTCTTTCTGCTGCACTAATTGATTTTCGCATGTGAGTGTCTTTTCTTTGAATCATTGGTCTTACTTTGGCAAGAAGAGATTTGAAAAGGTCTTCGTTGAGACGAAAATAGCGTTGGTACATAGGTTTATCCTCCGATGCTAACTCCTGAACAAGATTCTGATATGCTCCCAGCTCATTTCTACGCTCAATCCAGGATTTCACCCACATTCGTCTCGCAATTCGCCTCCTTCTTCGTCTTATTAAAAGGATAATAGCCAACAGTGCTTTCTTTTTTGTCAAATTCATAACCTTTGTCAGTTTCTTGAGCAATTTTATTCGTGTTTGGAATTTTATTTTACGCGCCAAGAAGTTCAAACAATGTGAAAAAGAGGTCACAAAACTTAATCGAGGCACTAATCCGAAAAAAATCGTGCTGTGTGCGGGCAATCAGTTTTTATGAAAAAGACAAAAATCTTCGTCTTTTGCGACAAATATCTGCTGTGTGCGCTAGGCTTTAAGCCCAAGGAACAGAGTTGTTGCTGAGAAAAAGATTTCAGATTTTTTTTCACAGTTGAAATAGGTATACATGAGCAACCTATGCCCACACTAATTAGCTTCGATCATACACCTACCCAACAAGTTTATGTCCCACCTAAAGAAGCCAACAATCCTTCTTGTCAATGGTGCATAGCGGTGAAGAAAACAGCGTACTGTTTTGAATGGTAAAACATCTCAATGGGATGCTATCGAAGCTGAAGTTCTGCAGGGTTCTTTCCTAGGTCACAAAAGTTACAGCAACACAAAAATTCGTAAAGATGAACCAAATTACTCAGACAAACGCCAGTTACCAGCTGTTCTTCCAGATATCTTTAAACATGCCATCTACAGAGGTTTCACAAAAGTACCAATGCAAGCAAATTTGCAAGTTGGGAAAAAAAATCAATTTAGAAATAAACATAATACAAAACATGACTAAATATCTATTAAAGTCTTTTTAGAAGCCACCAGCCTCATAGGCAACTCCTTCTTCTACAGTTAAATCTTCCTTCCTTTTCTTAGCCATCCTTCCCCTTCTTTGCGTTCCTTTTTGATTGCCTAATTTTTTTGAAGTTATCATTGCATTGGCAGCACTATCACGCTTGTGCTTTCTATCAATTTTCGAGAAGAAAGTCATTGTATTACTTTCTGGCTCTAATCCAAGATGAAGCAGGACATTTGTCTTAGCACTCCATCCATCATTAAACACTATTACTGACCCTGCAATGGCATAATCCAAGTGTTCTCTCGCAGAAAAAACACTCTTGGGGCATCTTGACCAAATTAAATGATTGAGTGCTTCGCAGTTGTTCTGTGTATAGCCAGGAAGACAGCCTTTGAGCATTTCTTCTGAAGAGTCTCTTAAAAATGGGGGTGAGCTCTTGGGCAACTGCATCTGCAATTTCTTTCTTATGACTGTTGTGAAAACCATTTTTCTGGTCTTAGTAAAATTTGCACGAAGTATCTGGGCCTTCCGGGCAAAACTGATGCTTGGGATGCTCATCGGTTGAAGCCAATTGGAAAAGGCACGCCCATACTTTGTCATGCATGTTTTTCAAATTGTCCTTGTTTCGGCATATAGCAAGCCCATAATAAATTTGAAGCTTGTTGATAAGGGCCCCAGTTAGTCTGGCAGCTCCAACAATTGTTTTCCCATCGCTTAACTCTTGCTTGCTCTTTACAAATTTTATTGTGTAGAGCAGTTCTCTTTTGAGCATGGCCTACACATTTAGTTTTTGTAATGTTTTTGTCTCCGTATGGTATTTTAGCGATTTTACTTGGGAAAATACCTTAGAGCCCCCATCACCAATGTAGTCAGTATATTGCAGGTGCCTGGATTCGTCAGATTGCAGAAAAATCCTTTTCACTCCTTCTGGCTCCATAGCTGGTGCAGACCCTGCAAAATTGATAGGGCAAACATGGTTGGCCTGCCATCTTTTTTTCTGCAGAAATAGGTTTTTGGCCCACCTCAAACAATATGCAGGCGTTGTTGAGAGTCTCATATTCAAGGAATTTGCCTATAGATGCAGATATACAAGTTAAATCTCCTTGCAGAGAAGTGTACTCTTTTTTTTCATTTTCCGTCAAACATTGCTTTGCACTCAGTGACCTCAGTTAATTCTAAGCCTTTTTTTAGTGTTCTTCCACTGGAGCCCTTGTTCATATTTTCATTGGCTTCATGCTCCAATGCATCTTTCACTTCTTGCAAATTGTTTTATATGCTTCGTCAGTCATAGCATTTGGCATATTCAAAAATGCACAAAACTTTTTCAATCCTCCTTTGCCAGCCCCAACCTCAAGCATCCCTAGCACTGATCTGCTATTGACCTCAAAAGTTATGGTAAGATTCTTTACAATGAGGTGAGGAATTCATTTTACATCTCAGTGCACTAGCAAGAGTCTTTACAATAAGGTGAGAGATTCATTTCACATCTCAGTCACATTCAAAGACAAAGAAGGATTCTAGGCCCATTTTCTTGGCACTTACCTCCGTGATGGAGAGTTTTCCAAATGTGCATTTTCGGCAGATGACAGATTCTTTATAACGAAACCATCCTTCATAACAAAAACCATCCTTCATAACTGAACGGGAAAAGGCAGATATTTTTGGGGAAATTAGTGACAAAGAAGAATTTCTTGTCTCTGCAGAGGACGAAATGCGGAGAGCAAGGATATGATGGCCTTTTCAAAGTTCGTCATATTTTTGAGCATACACAGGAGAACTTCAAAAGGCATATAAACTGGGAAAAAATTTGTCAATCGATGAAGGAATGATTGCCTACAAAGGAAGAATTTTTTTCAAGCAGTACATGCCCAAGAAGCCAAACAAGTATGGGATGAAAGTTTGGCTTTGTGCAGCTCCACAAAATGGCTATGTTCAAAACCATTAAGTTTACCTTTGTAAAGAATAAGAAGGCCAAGATTTGTATGAGGGGAAGGGATTGGGATACTATGTTGTTATGAATATGACCGAACCTTATCATCGCAAAAGTCACCATGCCTGCTTTGACAATTTTTTCTCATGTCCTGAGCTGATGGAGGATTTGTTATCAGATAAATGGAGGATTTGTTATCAGATAAACAAACTTACACTTGTGGCAGGGTAAGAAGAAACAGGAAGGGCCTACCAAAAGTTGATGGAAAGATAATGCAGAAGTGGGACATAATTGTCAATCAGAAAGGGGAATCAAACTTAATGTTCACAACGTAAAAAGATAAAAGGGAAGTTGATGTCCTCTATAAGAATTCTTCTCCCCTTGAACCTCCTAGAAAGATTATTCCCAGATGAAAGAAAGGCGTCCAAGAGGAAGTTAAGAAGTCAGCCATCGTTTGCCTGTACAATGCCTATATGATCAGTGTCAATCTGTCAGACCAGCTTTGATCGTATTATCCACTTGGAAGAAAAGACAATCAAAGGTACAAGTATGTATTTTGGTTCTTTTTGATGTTTCAATTGGAAATGCAATGGTTTTGTGAAACCAATCCCAGGCTCAAGAAACGAGTCTGCAAAGGAGCGGTCTGAAATTTCGCCAATCTCTTGCGATGCAGATAATCAGAGGCTATTGTGGAAGAAAAAGCTCCCAGCACCCTCATTTTAAGCACGATTTTGTTAAAGTTGAAGGAATTGGGGATTGCACAGAACAATTTATCCAGAAGCCATTTAACTCAAAAGCACAACATCAAACCTACAGCACCTACAAAAGTCGTAACACCCACAAAAAGTTAATTTTTTGCACTAAAGGTGGATCTATTAGTTTCATTTCAAAATCTTATTCTGGTTCTGCTTCTGATCGGTTCATTACAGAAGATTGCAATGTTGTAAATAAATTTACACCGGGATTTATTGCTCTCTTTGATAAAGGCTTTACAGTTCAAGACATATTCCTTCCAAAGCAAGTACTTGTAAAGATACCACCATTTGTCAGGGATAAAAAACAGTTTACCCCCAGTGAAATAGCTGATGCCAAAAGGATTGCCCGTGCAAGAATACATATAGAGCGTGTAATGGGACGGTTGAAAGAATTTAGACTGCTTGATCATACTCTACCCTTAAGTTTATTAGACCTTATCAATGATATCTGGACAATCGCAGCAGCCATAACAAATCTTCAGCCCCCTTTAGAAATACATTTCACAGTCCCACAAGTAATGATACAACATATTTTCTATAGCTACTCTTTACTATTTCCAATTGCACATTTAATCTATTGTACAAAATTACCTTCAAAACAAAAAATGTTATGTATGTTTAGTAAAAGTATAAAGGGGAATATTTGTTGCATATCTTCAAGTTCAGAGACCTATCTCATTAACATAAATAAAAATATACTAAAAAAGTCATGGATAAAGTAAAGAACTGTTTTTACAGGCCTCTCATCTAGTACTTTGTGACACATAAATATTGTGTAAATATTGTGTAAAAAGACAAATATATGCAGGCAAAACAATACTACATATACAAAAGTTATGTGTATATCTATCTTACTTATCTTCTCATTAAATACCATCTGATACACGTTTTACAATGTCTTTCAAAAGTAGCTTGCATTCTGTCTCTAGTTTTATTTCAAAAGAAAACAATTCAGGTAAGATAATTAAGTTAAAAAATCTAGTAAGCTTTGGCACACAGTCCACTACATAGGCAGGATCTTTTAAGATTCTTAATGTTATTGATTGTTTCGGCAAAAAGAGTTCAAAGTCACAGTAGTTGGCTCCAGTTGTAAACATCGGGTGCTGTACTTGATACCAGTACTGGTGCTTTGGCTTCAATAAAATTGATCCATCATCTTTGATTAAGTACGAATCAGGTTTATTGATATATTCAGAAATGTCAAGGTCACGGCTGCTCCATGGACACTTGATTTCCAAAACCCCCAAACCGCAACATTGACAGCTCAGGATATTATCTGGTGTTGCACCAAGAAAAGGATATGCTGCAGAGATGTATAAACCAAATGTGGTGCAAGAGAAACTTTTGTGCTTTCCTTTGTTCTTCTTAATGTATCTTTTGCGAGCAACAACTTCATTGTTTTTGCCCCAGCTCAGAGACTTGCTCCTAAAATCAGGATAATATCCACAAATCTTGGCACAAAGATTATTTGCTGATGCCAGATTTGATATTTGCAATTCATTGTCAACTTTCTTTAATGCTTCATGGTCAACAGATGCAGTGATAAGGCCAAGGGGATAATTTTTCCAGTCTTCAGAAGAAGATTGCTCGATAGTCATATTAGAAATTTTCTCTAAATGAAGAGGGGATCTACAAAGATGCAGTGTAGAAATGAAAGATTCAGCATCTTCACATTTGGAAGCAATTTCTGGAATTGAAGGAGGAGGATAAGATGTGGAAGAGGATGACCTCAAAGACGAGGAAAGGGAAAAAGAAGAAGCCATACTTTTGTTCCCTCTCGTTTTTTTAAACTGAAGAACACTAGCTGTTCCATCAGTAGCTTCAGCCACATCTTCCCAGTCAGCATCACCAAAAATGACAGACAAATCAGCTCTGGAACGTGGCTCGTATTCTTTCCTTGCTGTTGCATGGCTGGAAGATTCGCTTACACGAGAAGAGTGTTCAATGAGAAGAGATGAATTTTCACATGGCAAATGTATCTTTTCTGCTTTTTTTGAAATGCGCACATCCCATTGTTGCTTTTTGCCAGTACAAGACTTATTTCTTCCCAGATAGACTTCACTTTCAATTAAGTGAAGCAGGGCAAATACATGTTTGCAAGAGCTACTCGCACCAGCAAGGCAGTTACATTCAGCGGTCAGAATGAGGGAAGTGTCATTTCGTAAACAAACCCAAACAGTGTATGGTCTTTCAGAGATGTGAGTTTGTGGCACAACAGATGCCTTTATAAAACAAAGCTTCACTGTGTCTGATATCTGATGAAAAAGTACCGATTTCAAATGACCGGAGTTTTGAAGATTCTTTCCTTCTTTGAAAGCCTTCATCGATTCAGATAATTTCCCGAAGGACTGGACGATGTCCAAAGTAAGATCGGGAAAATATTCACTCCCTTCGAACCAATGGTCTTTGAAGCTTTCAGGTGAAGGAATTTGCACACCATAAACTAATAATAAACTTCGTCTGTTTGCGGAAATCTCTGAACTTCACTTTGTGTTGGTAAAACAGGCAGGCCTAACTTTTCGGCGTATACGACTTTTTCTATCAAGTCGGCTTTGCGATTGCTTCCACTCAAAGACACACCTCTTTCCTTCCAATAACTCCTCAATGTCTCGACTTTCCATTTGCTCAGTTCTTCCATTGTTAGTACCATTTTCAGAATCTAGACTGGGTAACGAAGTAAGTAGTTAGCGAAGTTAACACCGATCACTGAGATTTCGGTCCTTGACAACAGTTTGTTTGCCCCCTCTAGCCATCCCAGAATGCATCACGCCTCAAAATGGCGTCTGTATCAGTAAACAGGTCTATTATACTTGTTTGAATCCCTGTGGTAGACAAATCGAAAAGCGGAGTCAGTAAACCAAAAGAAAAGCTAAAATTGTTTTTTTATTTTATAGGAAGCTGTAGAAGATTTCTCTCGTGAAGTTCTACAGCAACTTGTTGTAGAGATGGGTGCTATTGGAGAAGGAAGTGCCAGTTTTATTGAAGACCTTGTGCACTCAATTTCACACCCACAAAAAGGCCAATTGCACATGTGAATGGTGAACCCTGGTGCAAATGTGGTGTTTGCATTGTAATGCCTGACCCTGATGAAAACAAATGTTGCGATAGGGTAATATGTGTCACATCCTACCAGATCTTTCGTAAAATCTGCATTGACAGGGATGTCTTCAAATTTTAGCAAGGTGTGATCTGAGAGCTGAACCAATCGAATTCACTATAAATTCGTCGAGAAAAGCTGCCTATCAGCAATTTGCACTGTGGAAAGATGGGAAACTTGGTCGTTTGAACAGAAGGATATTGCCCTTATGTGTAGTGACAATGATAAGAAAATCATACCCAGGATCTATCAATGGGGCTATATTGTTAGGATCTCTCTCACTACGAATGTTTCTGGTCAGTACAGAAGCAGTGCTTTCCTTGCGACATTGCAAAATTTTTGACAGTAAGTGCGGAATGTATGCATAATCTTTATCAACCTTCACAGGTTCTGCATGGTGCGACTTTGTCCTTATGCTGTATTTCACCTTAAAAATTTCCTTTCCATCCTTGGTCTTTGCAAATGTCCTGTGGAGATGCATATTATGGTCTATTGCAACTAAAGCCATGCGGGAAACAAAAATATATATATTCAAAAGCAATCCTTTTTGGTGCGTATTTTGTAAGCATGCTATTAAAAGTTTCAATTGACCCAGTGTGCCTAAAACTTGTGTACATTTCCAAGTTTGTAAGGAATTCCTGTCAAAGACAACAGCACGCAAGGTTTCAGCTGGCTTTGATTTCTTCTCAAGCACCTGCTTGGGCTCTGAACTGGTACTTGGACCATGAAGACAGGCTGAACCTGACCATGTGTGTTCCCCCACAAACATGATGGACCACACCAAACCAGCAATCCTTCAACTTTTCTGTGTCTCCATTTGCAATTTGAAAGGAATACCAGAAGTGGTTGATGATGCTGGGTATCCACGGCTTTAGTGCTGCTGCTTCCTTATCTTTTGCAGCTTTGTGGAGCATTTTGCTGAGACTTTTAATTTTATACCAAACATCTTAACTGTGTTGTAGTAACAACTTCACAAAATGCTGTTGTGTATGCGAATGATTTGTTGATTGGGGCTTGTGTTTTGTTGTCAGGTAACAACTACCAAAAGTTCTTGTTGCTATGCAAATTTTTAAACCTTGCTGTCCCAAGTCAGAGCACATTCACTCATTGTCAGCGGTTGTTTTATGCACCTGTAATTTTGGATGCTTGGAAAGGGATGAAAAAAAAGGTTCTGGATGTTTTGAACCCATATGAAGACATTTGTTTGCTAGGTGATGGGAGAAATGATTCTCCAGGATTTAGTGCCAGGTACTGTGTGTATGTGATCATTGAACATGTTACTGGTGTCCTTGTGGATTTAGAAGTCCTGGATAGAAGAGAAACTGGGGGTCATTCACCAAATATGGAAAGAGAGGGCCTAACACGACTTTTGTTATGTTTGATGCACGAAATAGATATTACAGAAATTTTAACAGATGCATCCAGCTCAATTATCAAAGGGATTAAAGAACTGCAAGGTAAAAAAACACTGAATTTATTATTAACTGAGTTTGCAAAATACATCCAAAATTTTTGTTTCATAAATTATGAATTAATGACACCAAAATTTGATGTTTGACATGAAAGAAAAGGACTGTGACGAAAGACTGACAAGAAGTCAATGTATACCTGTATGAGCTTTCACTGTCAGAATTTGTTTCACTCGCAAGAGAGCTACTTGAAAAGCATCTTTCAAATGGATCTCCACCTTTCATATGTTGTAATTTTTGTTAAATGAAGTTAGCTTTAGATTGTGCAAGCTTTCATTCAATGTGCTCACACCAACTGCTCCTGACTCATCAACACCTTTTTCCACATTAGAAGAATCAGACTGTTTGCTTTCTTCAATTGGGGAAAGAAACTGCAATTGTAATCTTGCCCTCTTGGGTGGAGACCTTGGTGTTGAATGATCTAGTACACAAAAACACAATGAAAATCATTTCCACATTAGTACAACCAGATTTTATGCTGTCTTCAATTGGGGAAAGAAACTGCAATTGTAATATTGCCCTCTTGGGTGGAGACCTTGGTGTTGAATGATCTAGTACACAAAAACACAATGAAAATTATTTACACAGTAGAACAACCAGATTTTATGATGTCTTTAATTGGGGAAAGAAACTGTAATTGCCAATGGACAACTACTGTTAAAAAAAATTCTAGCAGAAAGCTGATTTTGGCAACCTAAAAAAATTTTGAAGAAAGGCGAAACAAAAATAGCAATTACTTTTCAACATTGATGTTGAAAACCTTGCTTGTTATGGACAAAAAATTTAAAATGTTGCAAAACGTAACTAAAAAAATTTCTTCTCCTTTTTATTTCCCAGGACTTTACCCGCACTGTGAAAAATGGATTCTTGATCTGTTGGAAATATTCTTGGAGAAGAATGTCACAAAAAACGTACTGTGCAACTGCTCTACTGATTAAAGTAGATGAAATGAACAGTGGTGAAAGAAATTTGCTTGCCTTACGATCTGGAATTGAGAATGTGATTGAAACTGTTTGTCAACACCGTCAGAAATCCTTTCTTATTAAATATTAAGAATACCAACCTATTTGCGATTCATGGTCCACATAGGAAAGGTTGGTATGTTTCTAGTTTAATGTGCATTAAGGTGGCTTTTTACTGAAAGACTTTTTGCACACTATAATTATAATAACATACTCTAAGAAATCCTTGGAAAAGCTTTTTGGATACTTATGTACTTGATAAAATATGATATTGATGTGAGTCATTCTACAAAAGTCAAGGAATTATATTTGTCAGTACCATATCCTTTAATTTTCAGGATCATTGAGAGTGATAACAAATGATGTGTGCAAAAATGCTTAAAAAAATCAGAAAAAAATTAATCCCCGGTAAAAAGTTGTGCCCATCATGTAGACAAAGGCTACAAGTTAAAATAAAGAGGGAAATTATGAAGATTGGCCAAATGATCAAGGAGATGTTTCAGAGGATGAAGAGTTGTCTGCCATTCCAAAATCTTAGGATTTGGAGGAAGATCGTTCAGATGTTTCCCATTTCTTTAGTTCTGTAGGAGTATCACCAATCACACACCATGGAGTTTCAACAGCAGTGAAAACAAAGCAAGGGAAGCGCAAGCTTGAAACTTAGGTGTCAATATTGACAAAAAAAGTTGTAAGATCTCTTGACATGGTGTGTGACCTGTTACGGAACTTAGATCTCAACAAGATTCGTCTGAGTCAAGTAGTGAGGAAATAAAGAGAAAATGTGGCATCGTTTGATGAAATTATGGATAATCTTGCAAGAAAGGTAAAATCGTTGGATTGCAAAAGCAAACAATTACAGATTCTTCCATTGCTGTCATCAAATTGGTCCAATAAAATGGCATCAGATTTCTTTGGTGTCTCACAATACATGGTTCGTACCGCACACAAGCTAGCCATGGAGAAAAGAATCCTGTCTTTACCAGATCCTAAAATAGACATATCTTGCCCAAAACAACTCTTGAGCTTGTGTATCAATTCTTGATGAAGAATTCACCAGAAAAATGCCAGGCAAGAAAGATTATGTTAATATTGCACCAAATGACCACAGACAAAAAATGCTCACTCTTTGTAATAGGAAAGTCAAGTTTCCAGACATTAAGATCGGCTTTTCAAAATTTTCTTCTTAAGACTAGAATGGTGTGTTTTAGCAGGTGGTTCTGGAACACACTTGTTTGTGTGTGCTCTATTCACCAAAATATCGAACTCCTTCTTGCTCCTAATAATACCAGCTATAAAGATACACAGTGTTTTGTTGTATGCAGTCCTGAAAGCAGGTAGTGCATGGTGAATTGTTGTGATGCTTCAAATGGCCAAACATCTAATGATCCCTTAAAAGAAAATCTTTTCAAGTTGGCTTTTGAGCATCAATTCAGCGACAAAATTGAATTTCAGCAATGGGCAACTACTGATCGGTCAGATCTGATCAACTGTCAAGAGTCAGTTGTAGACTATCTAGACCCGGTAGTTTCCCAGCTAGAAAAGCTGACAACACATTCTTTTATTGCAAAAGCCCAGGCTAGATATTTGAAACTACGAAAAAAAAACATTACAAAAGAAACAGCATTTTTTCTTGGAGAATTTGCTGAAAACTTTACCTTTCTGATCCAAGATGAGTTCCAAAGTTACTATTGGAGTAACTAGCGATGCTCTCTTCACCCAGTTGTTGTTTATTTCAAAGAAGGCGAAATTCTTAAGCATAGGTCTCATTGTGTTTTCTCAGATGACCTAATGCATGTTGTCTCATTTGTTAATTTGGTCATAAAGCTTGTGTTGGATTACTTGAAGTTAGTTTGTCCTCAAGTTAAAACAATAGAGTATTTCTCTGATGGTTGCGCAAAGAAATATAAAAGTCGCAAAAACTTTATTAATCTCTGCTACCATAAGAATGACTTTAGTTTTGATGCAGTCTGGGACTTCTTTGCTACAAGCCATGGGGGGCAGCCTTGTGATGGGATAGGTGGCACTGTCAAACAATTGGTTGCAAAGGCAAGTTTGCAAAGACCAGTTTCTGACCAGATTTTGACATTTGAAGCTATGCTTGTGTTCTACGAGTCAAACATTTCAGAAATAAATTTATTCCCCGCTGCAAGGCTGATTTAGAAAAAAGTAGGAAAATTTAAGCAAAAAGATTTTATAACACATATCCTATTCCTGGGACAAGAATCAAACTCCAGTTTGCTGCTTCTAAAACCCACGCTCATTCCACTGAGCCAAACAGCCCAATGAAATAAGCGAGGAGTCTCCAAAGCCATCACTGGAGATTTCACCATAGCCAAAGTAGTTTTTTGTTTATTCTGCTGCGGGTTTAGGCATTCGTCACAGCCATTTTAACCATTGAAATGTAATCATAAGGCAAAGGCTGACAAAGTGGAGAATATTTCTACAAGGGTGCTGCCCAATTGTATCGAACCACTCTTGGTCGGAATTGAACTCCAGCTTGCTGCTTCAAATATATATATAGTTATATTAAAATACACATATATATATTTTATATATAATTATTTGTTGCAAAAAATGCTACTGGTGATATAGTGTATATATATTATTAAACGTTATACGTAAATGGTGATGATGATATATTTTACCTACTACTTGTTTTTTTGCTATACCTAGTTATCATTTGGATATACTGCAAAAGGTAAAAAGTTTGTGAGGTGGCAGAATACTTGATCAGCAACAGCGTATAATGAAAGAGGTAAAAGACCATCAAGGGTGTGATAATTTTCAACTCTTCCTATGACTCTTTCTACATGTATGCCCACTGAAGCAATTCGGGCTGTTTCTTCAGTTTCCTCTGCTGAAAGCTGTGCTCTTGTGCCTTTAAAAGGAGGAATGTTCAAAGTAACACCAGAAGGAAGGATATCTTTTAAATCAAACCCACAATCTGCCATGATGTTGTCACCATCCTCTAAAAGTGATAACACACTTGACTTGAGTCTAATTTCTTTGTCAGAAACTCGGCCAATCCATAATTTTTAAAAGCCTTCCACGTGTTATGGTGTTGGTAATGTGACCATGTTTGTGACTGTGATTTTATTGACGATGGAACCTCTATTAAAAACTTCTGTACAATCAATGATGATTCTAGCTGTGGTGAAATCTTTGAACTGAGATGGCATATTTTTATGAACAAGGTCTTGAGATGGAAACGGAAATAAAGTTTGGAGTTCATGATACAAAAAGCAAATCCAGATTGTAAAGATCTTTGAAACTTGACCAGGAGAGGTTCGAAAGTGATCAGACAAATCAGAAACAAACAAGCCAACTTTCAGTCTCATCAACACCAATACAAACTCTTCTAGATGAGAAAGTGTGCGCTTTCTGCCAGGCTTTAAGGAAGACTTTTCATGGTATTCAAGATCAGTATTGCAAGATGATTGTTTACCACACCAAAGACAATTTTGGTTTAAAATATTCAAAAGTTGCCAGTAAAGATGAGAAGTTAAGGAAAACAGTGTAAAACTCTGTTGCAGATTCATTAGCTTTAATCTTTCAATTGAAAAGAGAGACTTCTTTAATTCTGCTATACCACTTAACCACTTAACCATTGAACATAGAATACCACTTAACCATTCAATATAGAAATCTTTTGGCTCAATTTTTTAGCTTCTGATTTGAAGTATTCAGATTCAATAAAGGCTTTCATAATTTCATTGCAAGAGTCAAAAGGAAGATAAACAGCTTAATTTACAAAAGAGAAATCTGTGCGCATCAATATTGTAACACAATTGCCAGAAACATCGAGTGCTTCTTAAAAAAAATCTGGAAGAAAATCAGTAGCAGCAGATTCAGCAACGGTGAAAGATGGTCCAGGAACTGCAGATGCAATTGGCGATTGGATTGAACGGCATGTCAGAGGTTTGCGTGACTTAGGATTTATTGCTATTGTGCTGCTTTGATAGAGATTACGGGAAGGAGCAGTCCCAGTTTGATATCTGCATCAGCAAAATGTTTATCACAAAGAACAGTTGCGCTTGTAACTTTAAAATTATCTCTTCCATCTACTCTTTTGATTAAATTGCACCAACGAAGTTTTTCAGGATTTGTCTGTGGAAATCCAAAAAATGTAGGCCATTTGCAGTTGCATCAGTATAAAAAGTGCTATAGCATCTGTATGCTGCACATTGACGCCCAAGAGACCTCTTCTTTTTCCTGGAAACACCTTCTGATATTTCATAGTGCTGTTTGTGACTCATTTTCACAATTAAATTTATTTAGAGCAGATGTATTTCCAATAGTAGTTCGAATCACAGTGCTTATTATTGGCAAAACAATGTTGGAACATAGATATTTTCGTTTTTGATATCGTACCTCACTATCAAAAGTCGTCTATTAACCAGGAAATTCTGTGTCCTCTGGAGTTTGCTTGCAGCCAATTTCATGGTTACTGTAATTCATCTTCAGAAAAAAACTGGCCAGGGCAGCCCTCAGAAAAGTACTGAATTTTCCCTATATGGGGATACTCAGACTTAATTAATTTACACGAACATATAGTTTTCAGCAAAGTCTCCCAGCAACAGCATAGAGTTTCTGCTGGGAAACCCATTTGTTCATTGGTTACAAAAATATACTGTCAGAAATTGTCTACCAGAAAAATTTGAGGGCAAGTATAGAAAGACTAGGTGCATTATTGACTGTACAGAGATCTATATTGAGAGGCCAAAATCTCTTGATCTTCAAGCAAAGACTTGGTCAGATTACAAAAACATAATACTGTCAAAATTTTGGTAGCAGTAGCACCTACTGGATTTATTATGTTTTTGTCTTATGCTTGGGGAGGACGAGCATCAGATCAGTTCCTCTGCCAAGAGAGTTGCTTTAAGAATCTTCTAGAAAAAAAAGATAAGGTCATGGCAGATGGAGGGTTCCCGATACAGGAAGACCTCTTACATTATTATTGCAAATCGCTCCATCATCTGAATGAGATATGTCTGTGTCACCGGATCGCATGTCAGACCGGGAAGGAACACCAGTTTTTGATAGAGATGGATCTCTTTCCCAAAATTTTGAAAAGATTGAGAATGAAGTTATCATAGCGAATCATTTTGGGAAATGACTGTGCCGCCTGGTGCTCTGGTGAAATAGCAGATGACTATATCTGAATGCAAGAAGACTAAGAAAGTTGCCAAAGTTAGAATTCATCTAGAAAGAGCTATCAATCGCTGAAAACATTCAGAATTCTCAAGAACACACTACCAATAACACTTTAATCTCTTATTGATGATATCATAAAAAGTCTGAATGAGATGTGTCTGAGTCACCGACTAGGGAAATTATACCTGTCTCCAGAACTTGGTCAAAATGGGTCTAAAGTAATTGGGCAATTCCATGGTGTCAGACATACATTTTGCACACTTTAAACATGTTTAGCCAGTTTCATGGCAACATTATTTTTAGGGCTTCATGCCAGAAGAACTCTTATTGATGATATCATAAAAACTTGTGCTGAATTATTAACTTAAAGCCACCACTAATTCGGTAGACAGTTTTAGTTATATGTATACTTCTTTGACATTATGTTTATAGTTATAATTGCATGTTCTTCTTTAAGGTGATGGTGGTTACTTGACTGTGTTACATTGGGGTGTCCACCAAAAAGTATCTTTTAACTGGCCCCAAAAATTTTCCTGAAAATGATTTCCTATCCAAGAAGAGAAATCTAGGGAAATTATACCTGTCTCCAGAACTTGGTCAAAATGGGTCTAAAGTAATTGGGCAATTCCATGGTGTTGGACGTACATTTTGCACACTTTAAACATGTTTAGCCAGTTTCATGGCAACATTATTTTTAGGGCTTCATGCCAGAAGGAAGAAGTCTAAGTGCCCTATCAACAATGCATATGTTATGTTTTGTCATCATCATCGGTTTTTAGGTTAGTGGACAAAAGTGTACTGGTGTTGGACGTACTCAGACAACTGAAAATTTTTGTGACTATGAGTTTGAATACAAATTTTTGTGAAGTGATAGGTATTAACAAAATATCTTTGTTTCAGCTTGACAGGCTAAGCCTCAAAGTGCTTTAAGATAGAAAGTAAAATTTTGAAATGTGCTGCAGTATCTTCTAATTATTAAGAGATTATGGTGCTGGACGTTCATTTCCAAGTGTCAGACGTACATTTTGTAAATTAAAACATCTGCAAACATCAAACATCTTCTCAAAAAACAAAACAACAACAGAACTATAAAATTGAAAATTTAAACTGTCCCCTATTTCCCGCTACTATGGGTGGTTTAATCTTTTGCACTACATCCTTACAAAATTAAAAAATGTTATCTCTTTTGAACGACCATTTCCAAAACCTCCCAGTTTTCTCCATCACATCAGCTCTGACCTCAGTTGAATCAATGCCACCAAACTCAGTAATTTCCCCAGGAAACAGCTCACTAAATGTGTCTTCAGCATTACTTCTCACTTCAACCTATGCATAATTCTTATCACTCCTTTGCCACTGAAAGTATGTCACCTGTGACTTTCCATCATCTCCAACTGGCTCAAAAGAAGAGATCTTATTTCTGCAGATGTCGCATTTAAGTGCCATGCACTCTTTAGAGCTGGGGTAACAGACAATGGAATCTGTGAACAGTGATATGCTGCTAGGTAACTCTGTGCAGTTCCCAAGAGCATTCAAAAGCAACCTTACATTTTTATGGTACATGCAAACACAGACATTATGGGGAATTTTATCAAAAAGCTTAATGTGTTTTGGCCTGAGCTAACATAACTTGCTTCTACCAACGGCAGACTGGGAATTCTCCTCAAATACAGCTGGTGGGCCTCTGCAAGGGACATAAGCATGTATTTGCATTGCATGTGTATCTTCAGTTTTTTCCCACTTGCATCTTTACTCCTGATAATTACATGATCTTTTTTCCCTGGTGCTTGCCAACTTATGTCATCCCTTAGGTAGAAGTCAATAATCTTGCTTTTGGTATCTTCATTTAAACCAATCTGTGCTGCTCTTTTTTTTGCTTTAACAACATTGATGCCAATTTCTTTTGCTAGGGCTGCTGCAACTGCCTTCCTTTTCTTTGGTGATTTTGGAAGAGAAGTTCTCACTTTAGTCATTGCCTTCCCCATCGCCTGAACAGAGCGATACGGTGACTCAGTTTCATTTAGATCTACTTCCTGCTCATTTGGTTGAATTTGGCACTTCTTTTGGTCTCTGTATTGTTTAACAAGCGAATTTTAGCTCTGTAGTTTCTCCACTCTTCTTTGGACATTTTATCTTTTGCTGCTTCTCTTGATTTTGCTTTTCTTATCCTATCTTTTTCCTTTTTTGCCTTCCAAAGTTCTTCACCAGCTTTAACCTTCGCTCATCGCCAGGGCAACTTTTCTTTGTTTGTTAGAGGCATAATCAACAACTCAGCAATGAGAACAAACAAATATGTATTTCCTTGATGGTTTGGTTTTAATTGGCACTTTTTAGACTCAATCTCAGTATTAGACCATGTGCTGATACTGTTGATTGAGAGACAAATCCAAGATGGCTCCATTGGTATGAAGGGGCATAAAGTGTTGGACGTATGGTGTTGAACGTACAAATAAATGTATGTCCAACACCACAATTTTGTAAAAATTGGAAAAAGAACATCTAATCCAGCTGCATGGATGCAATTAGCATACATATTTAACATTATGCCATGTCTCAAAATATTTTCTGTGCCTTCATACATAGCAAAAAATAAAAAAAAATAGCTGCTGGTGCTGGACGTACTTTCAATAATTGTCATTAAATTGTTTCATAAATAAGCAAAAATAATTTAAGAATGTTGAAAATCTTTCTCTGTTAAAGAAAGAGGTCATATTGTACTATCAAAAGACATCAAACATGACACAAAAACATGACAGAGGAGTCTCGACTTCATTCTCAACAGCTGCATATTCAGGACATGTATCCATCATTTCAAATTGCTCTTGAAGCAGAGACTCTTCAACATCATCCAGGATACTGTCAATGTGGCTTTCCTCATTTCTGAATGTTGGATAAAGTACGTATTTTTAAGTAGTGATTGAGTGAATAAATAAAAAGGTTTTTTTTACTACAAATTGTAATCTATATCTCTCATTTCTTTTGAGAGCGACACATAGACAGTATGTACAAATTCTAAAGTAGATTTCAAATGACCATACAGTAGAAGCCATCTGTAACTTGGAATAAAAAAATTTAGAAAAACAAAAATTACATTGAAGAACAAGAACATTGTTTAACAAACAAGAAACTTTCAGAAACAAAATCCACGATAATTTTACAAAAATCTCACAAGGTGATTACCCCAAAGAGAACCATAAAAAGAACACAAAGGAGATAAAAAGGACATGTGAACTAAGACCTGATCACAAAATAGCATAGAAAGTAACTCACAGTGGACATTGATGAAAAAGATGGCTTCCAAAAAGATCTACCCATGTCTCACAGTTGGCTTCCAAAAAATCAGGCATTTCAATGCAGCTACAACGCAAAAGAAATATAATAGAATGTTTGAATAATTATTTGCTCTCCCATTATACTGCTACCCCATAACTTTGCTTATTTAATTGAGATGCCACCATTCTCTACTATAGGTTACAACACCAAATTTGTAGGTGGGGAAAGGTTTGAAAATGAAACTTTATTACTTGAGTTCAAGTTGCATAATTGCTTTATTACTTGAGTTCAACTGAGATACGGTTGCTACCAAAAATAATTTTTGTAAACATTTAGGCCTGAGTCCTTGCAGGGTAGAGAAATACCTGATGGCTTCAGTTGAAATTTTATCCTTCTTAGACAGCCGCCAAAGATTTCCCCGTGGGAGAAATATTGGGCGCAATGCTTATAGTACTAGCATCAGATGGCCTAGTTCTGTGCCCGCAACCCCATACACTCGCCCAGCTTCTCGGGGAAGTCGTCGCGCAAGCTCCCAGAATGGCAACCGTAGAAGTTAATTCCGTGTGAAGGAAGTCACAAGTTCCTAATAGTTGAGCTACTGATGCCATGAATTGTGTATCTCAAACAGGTTTGCAATTTGTTCCTTCTCTGATAATTTTCTAGGTCTGCCACAGGCACCTTCATTGTGCTCTTCAGGGCACCTAATAGAGTGTGCAGTCATTTCTGGTATGTAGCTTTCATCAGTAAAGATGTTACTCTCAACTAAATTGTGTAGATTACAAATTTCTACAGAAAGATCTCTTAGATACACACACAAACTTTCAGGTGTTTCTGTCGCACATTCACACCTCCTAATGAAAAGGCTTAAAACATGTAAAAAGTCTTGCAAATGTCTATTCCGAAATTCGAGCATATTCAAATTACTACTGAAAGCTTGTCGTCGAGCCTAAGATAGTTGTCCAGGAAGATCAACCAGAAACTGTTGAAAGTCAACTTTGAACAACATATTTAATATTCGTTGGTATTGCTTAGGCCAGTCTTTTGCCTCTGGTGGTCATAATTTGCGGGAAATGTCACTGCGCACATTGTTCGCGCTTAGACCTTACATATTCAGACCTTATATTTGCAAAAAATTTCAGACCTTATATATTTGCAAACAAATTCAGACCTTATATATCTGAAATTTCCGATAACAATTTATAAATGTCAAGTGGACACGCATTAAGCTAGAGGAAATAACGTCGATATGAATTGTACAACAGATTTATAATAGATTTAAACAATATATTTACAATGACATCATATATTTTGTATAATAGACTTTTGTCCCATATGGCGGGGCATACTTAGTCCTTGCAGGCTAGAGAAATACCTGATGGCTTCAGTTGAAATTTAATCCTTCTTGGGCGTGCTGCATACATTTTCAGGCATAGCTTGGTCAATGTTAATGACTTCTTCAAAAAAGTTGGAGGACACATCGATTTCAGGCCATATCTGTACCATTGATTTGTTGGTCACCGCTTTCGTTACTGTGAACATTTCAGCCCTGAAAACAATAGCGTCGGGGCTCTTAGTTGCTTAGCAATAATGAACAACAAAAATATCGATTTAAGAAGTCGAAGAAGTTGATTTCATGAGAATACAGATTATTTTCCAATTGATTTATCTAGATTTAATTCCATCTGATTATCTAGGTTATTTTCCAATCATTTTAAGTCATTCCAACGACAAGAAAACACATTAGACATTAGTTATGATTTCATAATTTTGATTAGGCCTTGCCTTTCTTCAGTAGGCCTAGCACCTATGGAAGTGGTAGCAAGGTCGTGTAAATGGTCACCTTCTGTGTCTACCAGCTTTCCAAACCCTTCACAATAACCATCTTTTTTCAACAACAAAATTGTTAACACTGGTACAATATTTGTTGCACTGCGGTCCCCTGGTTTCCTCAACTTTGTTGGTATGGCCGTCGATGAATTGGCCTTTCCCAAGTCGATCAGCCATTTTAAAAAATTGGCTTTGTACTGATACTTTAAGGTATCTTTTAAATCGAAAACGACTGCAGCACTTTTTTCGTTTCCTCGTTTTCCACTCCTAAACTGAGCACAACTCGTTTTCCACTACTATGACGCATCGCAATTTTGGCTTCTTCCCCCACTGAAAGCTTCCCAAATGCGAGGTTACAACATCATGTGTACAGTTGTGTGCAATTTGCTTGACAGCCAATCAGATTGGCGAAGCTATCATAATGACTCAGCAATTTTTGCAATTTGGGTATACACGTTCTATTAACCATGACTCAATGCCTTTAAAAAAATTAAATGGCAAAGGCATAATTTTTTAGAATTCTAAAACTTTTACACTTCACATCATTTGAGACAAAAAAGGTCCACCATAAATCAAGAGGACAAAACAACAAACAGTTTACACAATCCGTTACGATAATTTTTTATTCATTTGAGCAAATAAATTGAAAGAAGAATATGGCTATGTTATTATAAAAATCTAACCTGACTCTAGGGATAGAGTTGGGCTCAAAGGATTTGTTTCTAACAAAGAAACCATTCCAAGTCCTTCCGAAATGACAGGCAAGTTGCATCTATAATTACTCATTTTGGTCGATCTTTACATATGGTGCAACTGAACCCCTTATGGAAATCAACATCAATTAAAGCAAGGAAGGAATACCATGCATCTTTGAACTTATTGCATGTGAAGGAACTTATTGTATGTGAATGTACCATCCCGTCACACCCCCCCCCCCTCCCCTGGAAGGTATTCCCCCTGGGGACAGTATAACATAAAAACTTTAAAGAAACATTCATACAGCACCCACCTTCCATGCACAAAATGGTGCGTAAGATTTCTTTAAAGGTTGTGGCTGACAACAAAACTCCCCATATTCAGCTTACTGTCAGAAGAGCCATCATAGTGCACAACTCCATTACAGTTTGGGCACATTTGAGAAAATACTGAAAAAAACGTATTGTAAATCAAAACTGTCCACAATATTTGTGGATTTGAAAATTGGTTACATATAATGTTGAAGATATTTTGTAGCAACATTGTATTAAGGCTTAAGTACATATGCAGTCTAAGTATCATTTCAAGATATTTGTTGCAGGAGGTTCCCTACAAATTACAACAAGATCAATAATATAATAATTTTTTTATTTAGAACTATTTTTTAATTTAGACCTCCTATTTTCATACAAGCAGGTTTTCAGTTAAAGCTATTGCACAAATTTTTCCTTTCATTTGAAATGAAAAATTAGGCATGTGTAAAGAATTTTATATAATAGCTTATAATCATCAACACCACACTGGAATTGAAATCCACTTACTCAGATAATATAATTAGCATTTAATAATAAAAATCACATGTTGGAATGATTGGAATAAAATTATTAATGCTTGTTTGCAGTAATTATCAGATACACTTAGAGAATTACAAGATACACTACAAAATTACTACAACCAGTACTAAGATAACCTTTTTAACTGGTATAATTCTCCTTTTAAAATATTATTCTAGCAAAATAATTTAGCTTCTTAAAATCAACAAAAGAGGGTTAATAATAATTCATTGCATCTAACTATAATATAAACTAATGAGAAAAAGACCATGTATTTATGAAGAATTTTATCTGCTTTATCTGTTTTAACATTGGCTGCCAAGATGAAAACCAAATTCTTGGGGCAAAAATAAGCAAATATTGTTTTAAAAAAGGGGGAAATTTGTGATAATACGAAGTTAGGTATCTAAATGTAACCCAAGCTCTTTTGGGAAAGTCTCAATTCCAAATGTATGCAGCCTAAAGGTGTGGAACAGCTGCGACAAATTGTTCCTGACCTTGAAGTTGTAAGAATGCCATAGCCATCACTGGATGAATCCCATACTACAACATACTTTACACTTCGTGGGATGTCATAGATCGGGCAATGATCTTCTGAAACTGTTTGATAAAATAAGTATATCTTTCAGAACAACACTCATTGCAAGATTCACAGAATCCGGCCTACAGCCTATCCTGTGGTTCTTCCTTCTCACACACTTGATAAAATAAATCAGCACAAAATGACTAATAAATATGTTGCAGTCATGATTCCTTAGTTTTGATCTTTAAAAGATGCAAATGGATAAATAATTTTTAGTTTACTAGCCCTCTCTACTGAAATCAAGATTTGTGTGTGAAGAAAGATGTAAAATTTATTGGATTTTTGGAGAATGTTGATAAATCATAAGACTGCAGATACATGGGATCTCTGTTTATCTAAAGATGCAATATTGGATTTACTTTCTATGTCTTCACTGCATGATGGATCAATATTGCTGGCATTGTCAAAGTCTATCAAGAGCTCAATAGAAGCCATGCAGTGAAAGGGTCTTGAAGCTTTAAAAAATCTAGAAACAACATTTTCACAAAGATACTAAGGTATGAAATTGATAATTGCTAACTGCTATTTTATCAGGTAATTTTAAGATGAAAAGAAAAGGTGATATAAGGAAATAATATGGACTGGCAGGTTATTTAAAGATACATAGTATAAGGTAACCAGGAAATTTAACTTATGAGTTCTAGAAAATTTAATACTTCTAAACTCCTGAATGACATCTAATTACTTTGTACTTGCCATCATATGCCAAATGAATCTCTGAGGTCATATTTCTCAAATCAAGGGAATGCTTCTAGAGTTGCAATGATACACCTATTCCACGTTTCCCCATTGAATAATACTGGCTTTCTTGTAACAATTACAAATTTCCTTTCCTTCAGAGAAAAATTTTATCAGACTGCTGCACTCAGTTCAAAGAGATGTAGAACTATTTATATAATGCTTTTCCTAATGTTATACAAACCAAAGCATACTTTCCTATTTTCTTTCATTTTATAAAAATTATGCAACTAAAAGGGACTATAAATATTACACATTAGCTGATATGTTTCAGAACTCCTGTAATCTGTAAGAATCTAAACAGATAACAGACAAACAGCCTGAAAACAAACAATGCAAACTGTAGATTAACTCTGAAAGATTAAATCACAGTAAAACTGTAGATTAAATCTGAAGATAAAATCTGTTTCACCAAAAAATAAATTGAATGCAATGAGAGGAAATAAGAAAAAAAACATAAATATACATTCAAAGCATGTTTATTGACATCAAAGTCCAGAAAACAAAATGCAGTGTATGGTTGATTTACTGGGCACTTTCTCAAGATGATACTGCACAGGAGTCCAGACAAAAAAGTCACATAATTTGTTTCTGTCAGGGCCATTTGATAATTTCCCATCAACAACCCCGAGGCAGTTTGTTTCACCTGGTGAATTCAATCCCTTTTCTCTTTAATGAGACTTAATGATTGTTTAGCAATTTGTATAGTGACACAGCCTTTAATTTCGATACATTTATTCTCCCACTGCGAAATGCAAACCACAGAGAAGATATGGATTGACCACAAGTTTTTTTCAACCAGTTCCAATTGTTTTCTGGACACTGTTACTGTGGTGGATAACTACCGACATTTTTCTGCTAGCTCTTTGAACGAAATTCCTACTATTGTTGGACCAAAGAGCTCTGTGAGAACTATAGGGTAGCTTTGTTGTAAAGCTTGGGAAACAAATTTACCAGAGAAGCGTGGATGAACAGATAGAAATGCGTGGTTGCAATTTGAAATGTTGGCAAGAAATGTTTCAAAACTTGCTCTGTCTGCTTTGTATATCTTACTTTCCATTGCCATGACACTTGATCCTGCTTCAACATCAATACCTCTAGATTCTGTAGCAACAGTATCCTCTTCAGCAATAATTGTATCCAGTTGATTTTTGAGCTGATAACAGGACCTAAAATCAATGTCCTTTATAGGTGAATATTCAACTGTTGACCTTGTAGATGGTAGCATCCAGTAAGCAGCTTTTTAGGTCACAGTTTTCTTTTCACATAGTCTAACTGCAGCCTCAACATAAAACATGGCTGATGCAACATGTGAACATGTTTTACCCAAACCTGCAATACATGTACAGTGGGAAGCCACCACTACTCCTTTTTCTCTGCAAATAAACCAGGAACAAACTGGTGCCTAACTCATTTGTTGATTGTGGCTAACCCTTGCACGAACAAGGAAGTGTATATTGATTTTTTTTTAAACTGATTCATATTGATAAACTTCCACATTTCTAACCCATCCAGACACAAAACAATCATAGGATTCCAAGCTTTTGCAGTTCTTAAACTCGGCCATTGAGTAAAATAGACTTGAACCACAAGCACAGAATAATTTACCATGTCTATATACGTTATCGGAGGGTAATCTTCAGGATCTCACCACCACCACTCTCCATCAATTGTATAAGGGTCTAGAGTTCCAACCACCCCAGTTTTCTCTAGATATCTCCCACGTGCATAAGCAGGCAATGAATCGAAGTTCTTTGTCATATTTTACAAAAGTCTGACTGATTATCTTTGCAAACTCTCTATACAACAGTAAACAAGCGTGCACTTACTACAGAAAGAACGTCACAGCTACCAGGTCTACCAATATGGCTGCCACGCATCTTGCAATGCATTGTGGTCCAGGTTGAGAAGTCCTCTATTGCACTTGTCACTGGCGACATAAAATTTATCATAAAGAAGATGTTAAAGCACAAGGATCTTAAACCATTACTCTGAAATGTATCGAGGAGACAGTTGTTGATGGGTTGTGAACTGTTGTTGCTTTGAAAAATCAAAGCTTGCTTTCCAAGACCAATCTAAAAAACGAAGCATTGATGAAATGCAAAAATGAGCCCCTTTGCTTTTATCATGTAGAAAGGAAATCAAACAAGCACACAAAGTTTGTTTGCATGGTCTGGTAATGGTAAATGCATTTTGATGAGAGTGAGAAGCCCAACACTGAGTGCTTTGGCACATCGCAAATCTATGGTTTTACATCATAGAAAAGCTAAGAAAGGAGTAAGTTCTAATATCACTAAGATTTTAACAGGATCTTCTTCTGTTCTTTTTTGTGAAATGTCAGTTGAGCCTCGATTTCTACCCTGCAATAGTTCTCAAGTGTGCATTAGAGAGTAAATAATTTTGGCAGCAAGGCTACTGAATAACAAGGAATCAGCCAAAATCACCTGGCGAATGTTTCTTTAACGTTTCTTATATATTAGACAATCTGGTTATGAAGTTTGTAGAAATGATGTCTGTTAAAATCCGTATTCTATTCAACAAAGCATTAACTTTTCAATTTTAAACAACTTGGATACAAATAGGTACAAATAGATTAACTGGATAAACTAATTATATCTTAGTGAATAACAGCTTTCATCAGTTGTGTACTAGTAGATTTTTCGATTCAAACTACATGATGGTCATATAATATCTCTAGTTTAATCTAGTATATATTTGATCTACCAAACATTACCAACCATCTTAAAACATCTAATGCTTTTACATTTAGAAACAAATCACTTTTGTAACTTCCCGATGAAGTATTGGCATCTGAACAAGGGGAAACTCTGTATTTCTATGTTCTTGTCCCTAGAAGCATTTCCTGCATATACTTCTGTGTCAATTAAATCAACAAAGATATCATGCACTATGAAAAATGTTTCTCCAGTATGTTGCTATTTGAAAATGGGAGTGTGGCTGTTGCTAGAATATAGTCAACGCTTGTTATGAAAGGTAAGTGGTCTTGAAGCTCCTTAGTTACATACTCTGATATGCCAACAAAAGATTGCTTATCAAAAAATGATGCAACAATGGCATACTCTCCATTTTGTTGCGATTCATAATCTAAGAATTCTTCCTTAAAAGCCTGATTCTCTGGATTAGATACAGTTTGCACTTCTCCTTGCTTTGAAACTTTTGGCAAATCCTCTCCATATTTGTAAAAAAACATTGCACACACCATTACTTTTACAGTCACATGATATATGACAATGTTTCACTTCTGAAACTTTTACATCTTGTGCTTCTAAGCTTTTGTAAAGTGTAATACCAAGCCAAAATTGCAGTAGCTGCTTGATCACGTCCTGTCCTTCCAATCCCTATTGAGCTCCTTAAAAAATTACATACCTCGTGACTGTTGTGAACACCCATCACAAGTGAGGATGTTGCAAGAACCATCGACATCAGACAGTTGTACAAACACCTGTCTTTATTTTCAATTAAAGTTTTTTTATGACATGTCAATAAGCATGTTACTGGTGGATTTTTCTCTTGACAATATATCAAAAGCCTCTCTACCAAGTTCCTCCATTTAGAATAAAAAACTTTAGAAAAATTCTCAATTCTTCGAGAATAGATGCTTGTCTTATTGAAATTCCTTTTCTCTTTTTTTAAACCTTCTACTATACATTCTAGTTAGGCATTTTTCTTTCACCTGGTGAATGTTTAGCCTGTTTGGACCGGCTCTGGTCATTTTGAACGACTGCATTGAGAGAGACTACACTATCTTGACTACAAGTCTTAATCAACAGTTGCAGATAATGCCAACATTATCACATTTGGAAGTAAGTCCTTTAGCATAGGTAATTGTGGCATCTCTGCTGCATACACTCTTGACTGATTTGGGACCAGTTCATGGGGCCCTTCAGAAAATATTCAAAAGGTCTGTTTTCCATGTCAATGAATTTCCAAGCCAAGATCATGTATTTGAAAAAACTTTTACTTACTTGAATCATTCAAGATTTGGTTTAAGCATTTCCTGCATATACTTCTGTGTCAATTAAATCAGCAAAGATATCATGCACATAAGAGACTAAGCCAAGTTTTAAATTCTATGGATGACCCTGTATCAGACATTCAAATTGTCAGGAATAACAATCGCGATGCACTTGTTAATAGCAGCTTTGAAAAACAATGTAGTGTTCTTTCAAACCCCAGTTTTAACTAAACCAAATAATCAGCGGTTCTGTTCATGCAAATGACATAGTTCATGCCCCATTTAACGTTTGATAACTCATTGAAAAATATTGGGAACAGTAAAATGTGGAGTCATAAGGACAGTAAAATGTGGAAGATCAACACAAACAAAATTTTTTCTTTTTTGATACATACTTAGATGCACATGGCGTCAGAATATTTCCATGGGTTCCAAATGCTTAGAGCAAGCGACTAATCATTTTCATTGAAAATAGTGCACCACCTAGTAGAAAAGCCTCTTCCATAAAGGAAGCTATCTGGTTGTTACTGACAATGGTTTTTGAAATGTTGTTGGCCCCTTTTCTTTGATGGAAATAAAGTGGATGCTACACAAATTGTAAATTTCCCTCTTGTTTATATTCATCTCTCAAAAATTCTGACAGCACCTTCACTCTCTATTTCTTCTGATAAGCCACTTTAGTTAATGTGCAGTTTTTTCTGTGTCTATTCTGTGTTTCTGTGTAGCATCTGAAAAACTGTCTGGGTTTTTCAATTTTCTATATTAATATAACACTCTTGGCAGAATAAAGGCAGTACTTCATAATCTAAGATTTCACCTGTCTCAACTCCAATGACAAAAACTACACCAAGTTTGGAAGAGTAGCCATTTTGTGCCAGGTTCCATCTACATATTCTGAAACAGGGATGGCACCATCAACATCATCAACTCCAAGGTCAGGTTTTTTGGATTTCTTGACTGTTTCGAATCAATTTGAAGCATCAACCATGACCTTCTCCGATGCAGTTCAAGCTGGTTTCAAGCACTTATCAAGGTGATCATTGAAAGCAGTGCTTTCACTGTTCAAATTTATATTTCCTTCAAGTGAGGCTGAAATTTTTCAAAATTTCTTAAACCAGAATTCTATTTTCTTTTACTTTATCCTTGTTAGTTTTATCCAAAAAATTGGTCATGCAATGACTTTTGGTTAGTATGCCTCTACCATATGTATCTATGCATCAAATAAATGAATAATAAATAATGTTGCATGTCAGTCAAGCACCAGGTTCAGGCATCAGGTTAATATGCATCTATCAGTTTTAAACATTGATGAATAGTAAATAAATAATAATTAAATAAATAAATAATAAAAGATAAATTAAGTTGCACGTCAGTCAATTACAGGCTGAGAGATTATTATACAGAAGTACAACAAAAGAAAGACAAAAAGGAAGAAAGGAAGCAGATTTTTCCATGGCAATATCATATTAGTACTAGTTTTAATTTATGGTGATAAAGGGAAACATTATATTTAATAAGTTTAAGTCTGGAATATTGGATCAAGTCATAAAGATCACGTCTACAATTCCTTCATAAATTTTCTCCCAAGTTCTCTTGTTTAAGCATCAGTTGCATTTGCATCCATTATGCAGGGCAATCATTTCTTTTGACAGTTTAAATGAGTTAGCTTTGTGCGATCCCTTGTTTTTCAAAATGAGTCGCACGATCACCAGCAAACCGCTGCCTCATCAATATCCATTTGTTTGCCTGATTGCCAGCAAACCATCAAATTGATGCATTTCGCGCCATAGATTTTTGGCGCCATCTGAACAATCTAAACAAAAACAAATATGTCCGACGAACATCGCTTTGCATTTCTTAATTCTTTACGGCAAAGAGAAAAACTTAAAGAGAAACACAAGAGATATAGAGCATAAACAATGGGTTCACAAAATATACTGTGAACATTTGGAAAAAGGCGAATATCACCAGCTGGTATTAGAAATGAAACTTTTGGATCACGAGCTGTTCTTTCGGTTTTATCGAATGCTGCCAAAAAAATTTGAAGAGCTGTTGAGTCTTGAAAGATATACAGGAACAAAGCAATACAAAGACGAGAATTTTCAATTTTCAATAACATGGTTAATTTTTTTAGTTGGAGACAGTGATCATCTTCTAAATTCTCAGAGGATGAAACAGAAGTAAAATGTAGATGGAAAGCACAAAACTGCATTCAGATTAGCTTTACAGATGTAAGAGCCCTGAGGGTTGAAGCCAAGGTATCTTGCCAGTAAGAGAAACAGACACTGCACTATAGAGATAGTTTCCTTTTACAGGAGGCCTAAAAATTAATAACTATTTACAATAACAAAGCATAGCTTGCTTAAGGGTTGTTTAGATTGAAAAAAATTCACTGTGAATTGTATTCCTGTTCAAAATGTTTTTAGCATTTATATGTTTGGAATCATTAGAAACTCAATGACAGTGTCAACTTGCTTTTTAGGGTTTGCAGATTCCTATCAAACAAAATGAGGCATAGTCCTTTTTTCAGATGCTCCAGATCAAGCCATGCAGCAACAATATTTAATTGATGATGATACTAAATTTTAAATTCTTGTAACCTTACAAATTTGGACCCTACTTGCTTTTGAAGCTTTATAAGCATGCAAGCTGTAGGTTTCTTTATGAATGTTTACTGAAGTTGAATTTGTTTTGATTTGATACAATGCAGTTGATGGTGGCACCATTGGGGACTTGAGGAAAATGCTGGGGAACATTAATATTTTAGGAAATATTATTTGGGATGTAATTATTAGAATTTTTGAGGGTATTATTATAATTGATGTTTCACATCTCTCTTTACATGAAGTACTTAACCCATTAATTTAACCAATGTGCTTTTGTAAATGCAATATGGCAGAATTTGTTCCGTTGTTGAATATGTTGTTTTTCATTTTTGCATGTCTGAATTCAATCTTCCGCGTAACTCTAACAGGTTATGGGCCCAGGACACTGGAAACACTTTCACTATAGATTTGTTGTGCATTTACTTTGCCATGATGGATAAATTCAAAGGTACTAGTGTTAGGATCAATCTACATGTTGGGACTAGTTATGACAATTGGAAATTCAGAATGGAAATGCTTCTTACCACAAAAAAATCTGTTTGGATTTGCATCAGGGGAAATTAAATTATCAGCAGAAGCAAATGGTGCACAGAAAAACGAAGAAAAGGAGAAGGTAGGTGAAGCAAGAGCTATTATATCGATTCAGGTAAGTAACAATGAGTTAGTTAACATTACCACACAAAATGTAATGGAAAAGGGAAAAGGCAATAGTTTTAGGAAAATTGTCTACATCTTGTAACGTGTACATTGTTGGATACCATTGGAGAAATAGAATCATCATGGGAAAAGTAAAAGTAAAAGGTAAATCAAAAGTAAAAGGCTTAATTTTGACTTTTGCTGATGTGCACAAATTGCTGGTGAAGAAGAATCCTTTGATAACGCTTTAACAACTGGGCGAATGAAGAATTGGAAATCAAAATATGATGGTAAAAATATTTTTGTGAGGCATAATGAGCCATTAAGTTGGTCATTTGTGAGGCATAAATCTAGCTGTGAGGCACAATTGTTGTCATATTCTTAAACTTTGATTGGCTAACAGGCTATTGAGAATTTTGGTTGCTCAGCCAATAAAAGACTTGGAACCGACCATAGAATTTAAAAAATCGACCAAAGAATTTATATAGGCCTTGACATGCAAACATAGAAGTTGTTTGAAATCAAGAACTGTGTCAAGAGAAGCACTTACAAATTGCTTTCTACTTAAATAACACAAGTGGATATCATGAAAATGCATCAATTGTCGGCTGCTCAATAAGTGCAGCTTTTTGGTTTGTTAAAGGTTTTTCCATACAAGAGTAGTATAAAATTTACCAAGAGTTGGCAGCCTGAAGAAGGTTACAATGCAAAGGGACGAAAGGTCATTTCTAAGGGAACTGTGAAGTAATAAGTTTGAATCCTTACCAGATTTTTACCGTAATGTAAAAAAAAGCTAAACCTTAAACATAAGCAAAAATATGGCTTTAAAACTATGAAAAATACAAATTTTTCAGCATAATAAGAAGTAAATGTTACCTTATAACAAAAACTAATCATTGATTGCCAATGAGTACAATGGATTCTCCTTAAATGTTACGTAGTTTTAAGTTTTAAGTAAATGTTACGTAAGTAGCTTGAGTAAATGCAATAATTTATTAAAATTGTAGCGTTTTCATTGATGTTGTAAACTTTATTTGAAACTTGAAAGTTTGATTTTGTAATATTTTATAAATTTCTTTGCTATGGAAGCCTGGAATTAAAAAGTTGAATTTGTTTGGCAATCTCTAAAATTTTGTGAAGATCATGCAGTTATCAGCCATTTAACCCTTCTGCATATTTTGCTGTTATTTTCAAGAAAATTATAAGAGTCCTATAATTTCATAGTCATTATTTCATTTTGGAGATACATATATAAGTAGTATACTTTAGGACAGCACTAGAATAATATTTTAAACTATTTTCGCATTATCTTGGTGTAATTACTGTGAAAAGGATAGCATATATACACACAAATATTTCATATTAACAGCTTTTATTATAAAGCCATCAAGCAAGCAAATATTGACAATAAATTTTGAAAGCTGACAAGAAATGAAATGTACATATGTGATCTGCCACATGCATAAATTTGTTTGTGATACAGTCTGCTATTATTTCAATTGATCTAAAAATTTGCTCTAAGTTTTAACTCAGATTTTAACTTTTTAACTAAAAATGATCATATAAGACAAGTAATAAAATGATATTAGAACTACTTACTGTTTGTTTATTTTTAAAACAAGCAATTGAGTGTTTACAGACTGCTTTGTTAACATAATTTGAGAACTGTAGTCATAATGAGCAGAGTCAATCTCTTGAAAGTCAGATCTGAATTACTTTATTAAGATTCCGGGAAATTAGTTATCTCACTGTAACAACTAGGATATGTTCATTTTTTACCTTATCACATCATGCTCTCTCTACTTACACTTTTGTTATGTCCTCTGATATTCACGAAGATTAGAATGATTTCATCTGCAATTCATTCATGAAAAAATGCAGTAATTCTGTATAGGAGTTCTTTATTTTCTATGTACTCTACCTTCTTGAGCAAATCTATAATCGTTTTGTCTGATATGTCAATTAGTTACTGATTGTCCATGAAGGTTCAACATCCCTTGATTCTCTTCCTAACTTCAGTTGAAGTTCAACAAGGACATCGTTTAAAGAGACCTTTGTTGTTGTGAAACTTCACAAATATGCATTAGCACAACAGACTCCTGTGGCTATTTCAGTGATGGAATCAGTACAACACAGACTTCTTATTTGCTACACTTGCATTCTTTGAGACAAAAACAGCAACAACTGCTGTTGACACAAAGCCTCAATATAGTGCTTGCCTTAAGCAAGGATCCAGACTTTTGGCAAAGATTTTCTTTTGACACCTTTGCTAACCGTTAGCAACTGTTGGTTTTCATCTGTTGGCAAGAGACATTAGACTACATGGTCACTAGTACTTTTTTTAATGTTTTCGAATGTCACCCTCAACATTTGAAGAACTGTTATCCTTAGTTGGTCCAAAAATCTCAAAGAGACATAATGTTATGTGTGATTCTTTGGCCCTAGCAAAAGATTGGCAGTTACAATGAGATATAACAGGAGATGCCCAGTGCACGATTGCAGCTAGCTATAGGATGAGTCATCTTGGCGATGCCATTGAAAATGAAAAACTCAATATCCCTCAGCCTGAAACGTTGGCCAGAGTTGAGCATAAGTACTTTCTTATGTATTTTTTGCAGATGACACATTTGGTTAAAAAACTCATATAATGAAGCATATCCTAACCAAAATTTGCCCATAGACCAAAGAATCTTTAATTATAGGCTGTGGCTTTCAAGGGCAAGGAGAGTTATTGAAAACACCTTTGGGACAGCTACCACTTTGTTCAGGGTGTCTAGAAGACCAATAAAAACATAGACACAAAAAATGATTTTAGTAACAAAGACTGTTGTTGCCTTACATAACTACTTAATGAGAGAATGCCCCTGCAATGATGAAGATAACTATAGCTATTGCCCAACATCTTATGCTAATTAGGGATACAAGATCTGGTGTAACTTCTGGTGACTGGCGCAAGTAAGAGAGTAGAGAGCTTCCGATTCACGACGCGGGAAGCGAAGACGGCTCACAGGGATCTAGAAACTAGCGCGGTCAAGGGGGATCCCACTTTGCTTGAGCCGTCTTGTTCCTGAGGAAGACTCAAATTTTCGATTTTTACGTTGCGAGCTCGACGCAGAAATAAAAGGTGAGTTTTCTTCAACACTTTTGTAATACATCGTTATAAACTTAGATAATTCATTGACAGTTACCTGATGATCGCATTAAGTGTGAAAATTGGAGTGTATTGGTTGTGTTTTTGCTCAGAAACTATCTTTTCTACACACCACGGAGTGTTCAGCTCTGCCTGTCCTAATGGCACTGAGCATTATATGTTTTTCAAGTTGAATTGTTGGTACATATCTAAATTTTCAGTGCCACAATAGACATATAGTAATGTTGTTTTTACATCTTTATTCCAGAATACATTTAAATTGTTAAAAATGGCCGCCAATTGTGATGATTCACACGAAAGAAAACTCATGTTTGTATTGATTCCATTATTAAACAAATTCATTGAAACTTACTTATCCTGAAACCGAAATCAAGTGGCATTTACCGTTAAGAGACAGCGAAATAATGGTCAAAAGCCTGCCAGATTTCCTGATGTTTTGTTGAAGTTATCAGTACATACCAGGAGAAAGCCTGTGTATGATCAGTATCTGAATGGTCACCAACTTTTTATTCTTGAAGTACTCTTAAAGTAAAAAGTTAACTTGCTGGAATTACTTGCTTTTGTGCTTGATGCATTTTTAAATTTACATTTTGAATAAACTTTATTTGAATTGTAATCTGTTTTATGTTGTTTTGAGTAGAACAAGTGGTTAGTTTACCTTGCTGAAATAGTTGAAATTTTTTCCTGGTCTCTCCTGAAATGGATTGGCTTTAAGGTCTCAGCCAAAACTTTCCTGTATATGTGTTGATATAAACTTATTTTGAATAGGCCTAAAATGACATGGACTAAAGATCATGATGTGCTGCTTTGCCGTGAAATTTTGGCAGAGGAGCCTTATCAATATAAGCATGGGTCAAGAAAAGGGGGAAATGCTGGAACAAAATTGCAGATGCATTAAATGGAGTAGAAAGGCCAAAGTTCAGTGTTGATCAGAGAGCTGTTAGGGACAGATTCGTAAAATTAGAAAGGGGGTTTAGAAGGAAAATGAACGAAGAAATGAGGGCTAGTGGGGTAGCACCAGAACCTAGTGAGCTAGATGAAGCAATTGAGGATATTTTGAAAAGAAAAGACAGTGCAGAGCAGCAGCAAGCAAAGTGTGATGATGGTAAGAGACAGGCAACAGGGGCAGAGAAGGAAATGGGCTATGGAGAGTCTCTCAGAAACTAAGGCAAGAGAATGTTCTAAGAGGAAAAAGGGTGGTGAGACAAGTGAGTATGTTGGGTACCTGAGAGAGAAACGCGAATCAAACATGAAACTTAGAGAGAGTGAAGTTAATTTGGAAAGAAAGAAAATTGAAATAAAGGAAAGAAAGTTGGACCAAGAAACTGAGTTGAGAAAGAGAGAACTTGAGTTGAGGGTGAGGGAGATAGAGGTGAAGGAGATAGAGGTGAGAGAGAAAAGTCAAGAATTGAAGGCAAGGGAGCATAAACAATTTGAAGAGAAGTTTAAAGTATACAAGGAACTGCAAAAGATGATGAATGCTCAAATAGCGTGCATAAAAAATAAATTGACAATTATTGAGGAACAAAATTTAACTATTTTAAAAATATTAGAAAGATTTGAAAAGTAATATTGTTTGCTGATATTTGCTTAATTGTATTAAAAAAGTCAAAAGGTAAAATTATGTTGAATTTTTTTATTCTAAATTCTTTTCCAACTCATTTCATAGAGAAATATTGGATAATTGATCTCAAATTTTAACTCTGTACAAATACAAATGTTTGGGTATCTTCTCATGCTCCACCCAGAAGCACAGAGTTGTAAATAAGAACCCCCCCCCCCCTCCAAAACACAGATTTGTATAAATATGGTACAGTAACATCACTTATGAAAGTTTTCAGTATCTCTATTCAGTGCTATTTATTTAATTGGTTGTTTCAAATAAGTTAATCTTCAATTTCAGTTTAAAGAGCAGGTAGTTTTTGCCTTAAAAATATTTTTTTCTTGCCTGTGATTAACAATTTATTTTCCTGTTTGCCTTTTCATTTACACTATGCTACATGTCTTTTCAAAAGATTCTTTAAGTTTGAGAAACAGGCAAACAAAACCAGGACCTTGATTTGAAAGTGAATATTTCTATAATTTTTTGTCATGTGGTCAAGAGATTGATGTTTAAAGTTTCAAGTGAAACCTAGGAACGATCAAGTCAAGTATTGATGGTTAAAAATATTCAAAATGACAAAATTTTGGAATCTGTTAAAGTTCTTTGATTTTTTTACATACTTTGGTACACAAAAGGTTTGATCATCACTTTTTAAATATTCTACAGCAGGAATGCATCCTATGGTAGTTACAAAAAAATTTTCTTTCCATAATTTCTTTAAAGAGAAAAACAAAACAGATAATCGTGTGCTGTGTGAAAGAAAAGGAAAACTTAGAATTATTGGTAGCTTTTAAAAAAGCTGTTTTTTAGATCTTTGATTGGTACAACCTACTGGAAATACTCTTCGATAGTTGGAGGATCGACATCAAAAAATTTTGAGGTGTTGTTGCCATATAAACATTTCAATCCGTTGCGTAGCAATGCACACACTATGTAGATCTTGCCAACTGCTCTCAAACCAATTTTAAGATCTTTTTTAAAATCTGTGAATTTAAAGTAATTCACAATATCTCCAAATACCCACTCAACAGAAATTCTAACTTGACTCATTGATTGGTTAAATGCCTCTTCCTCTGGAGTAAGGTCAGCCCTTCTGGCAAATGGGCATTGGAGATGCACTCTGTGGGGATAAGCTGGGTCACCATAAAGACACAATGCTTGGCCAGTTGGGGAAAATGAATGATGTTCCAGATCATGCAAGAGGCCTGACATATTTAACATGCCACTGTCATGTCTTCTTCTCTCAACTGGACCAAAAAGATTTGCAATGAGACCATTGGGAGTCACAACTGACTGGAACTTAAGGGCATGAACCCGTTTGTGTCCATTGTAAACTTCCCTCTGGTTGTCCTTGGGCCTACAAATCGGTTAAATTTGCCTCATGAAAAACAAGGAATTCGTCATCATTGATCTCGCCGTCATCGTGCATGAGAACTAACATTTCCTTCTCCATTTTCGATATAAAATCAATTTTGTCGCCTATTCTGAGTCGTCTTCCGCATTGGTAACTTAAATTGAACACGCGAATAAAGGGCGCCTCAACTCAGTTAGTACCCAGACCTCCATGAGCCGTCCTCACTTGAGTCGTCTTGAATCGGAAACTCTCTAGTATTGATGGCTTACAACCAATATCACCACAAGGGTCGAATAATTATTCAAGGGAAGCAAAAGAAGTACGGCATGATTTTAAAAACTATTTTTGTTCAGAAGACGATTCTATGGATTGGCAATTTGAAAGTAGCATAACTAACCATTTACATTGAAGTATGTTATTAATTAATGGTTGCTTTCTGATTATCAAGTTTGTGTCAAGGTATCCTGATCCATCTTTCATTGATCTTTATTCGTTAGTCTATGGGATAGATTGTTCTGCTTGCCATTTTGAAGTTCTGAATGACAAATCTGAAAGGACAGAGTTACACAATTGTTGAGGGAGAAGACCCCAAGAAGTACCCCAACCTTGGTACTTAAATGAAATTTTACTCATCCTCATATTGGAGATAAAAGAAGTTGACTAACCTTAATTTTAGCCAAACTTTTTTTTGCCATTTTGGTAACTCTCTCATTTTTAGGATTAAGCTGCAACAGTATAATGAGTCCTCATTATTTTCCTCTACCATTGTGGTTTTTAAAAGTTTGTTGCAGTCTTCCTGCGTTTCCCTTTGTCTTGCAGACAGCTATGGGTGTCTGTTTTGTAACCTCAACACAACTATCTGGGCTAGGAGATGAAAGCACAGAATCCTCAAAAAAGAGTTCCCTAAAGAATCTGACAAACTGTTTCAATTGGTCTGTTGGCACTCTTTTCATAAAGAAATTCCATCTGATCAAATTACTGGCACTTTGGCAAATCACAAACAGTTGCACCAGATCTAGACATCTGGTTCCACTAATCTAAACAATTTTTCTGCACTTCCTTCCTTCCAACGAAGACTGCTGCTTCTGTTGTTGGTCAATATTTCCACTGATTGGAACTTGATATCCACCACTCTGGCTTGCTGATGCAAGGAAATCAATTCCATAAGGACATCAGTATTCTGGGCCCCCAGAGACAGTAAAGGAAAGTTGAATTGATCGTTTGACGACATGTTGATCTATGGTTTCTAAGAAATGAATTCACTTTCCTGTGCTCTGATTGGCTATCACTACTTGAGAAATTATTTCGCCAAGAAAAAAGTAGAACTGTTTCCTACTTTCTTACAAATTTCGCTGTGAAATCAATATTCAGGACTGCACATGCCTCAACACGTTTGCCAGCAATTTTGCCAAAAATTTGCTGCAAAATTCGCCTCGTGGAGATTAGCCTTTAAAGAGAATGGCTGACATAACTGCTATCAATGACTGGAAAATTGCTCTAATTGCTATGCTTTTTAGTTTTTAATTTCAAAATTAGTCTTAGACAAATGTCCTCCGTATTTTCAGCAAAGCACAAGCTACAAAGGCAAAATTTAACTTCAAGTTCCCATTTGGGTTTGCCCCTGTGCCACATATTGACACCCTCTTTTTAGTACTGTGGAAATATTTGGCCAGCCGTAACTGTTTACACCAGGCAACTACTGAATTTTGCCAGCCAAGTTTCAAGAAGGATGCTTTCCCCGGTGGTCAAATATTTGCATGCCTTAGTGATGTATTTGAGGTCGTTTAGCTGGTTCCGTGTAAATGCAAGGCCTAAACTATATTTGGGGACTGTGAATGCCCCCTCCTTCGTCACAGGCCCTGCTCATGTCTCAGTGATATCCTTGTTTTAGTGTTGACATTTGAATTGGCCCAAGTAAATGCAGTTTTATGACAGTGGCTGTTTTTAAATTTGTTGCTCCTTCTGGTTTTATGTTGAATGGCAAAGGTTTTCCATGGCCAGTAGGCAAAATGGTAAAAGTGTCTTTTGACTTATCAAATAATGAACAAATTATTTCAAATTGTTGCCCTGCTAGCTCTTTGATTTCGCTAAATTGTGTACTAAGCACTTCATTTGTAGCTTCCTGCAGCTTGTTGACCACTCTCACATTAACGATTGGCAATGAAATCAAGCAACCACACAGAAAGGTCACCATGGTCAGACACTTCTCATTTACCTTCCAATTTGGAAATGTGCTTTCCTGATTGGTTTAATAAGAAGGGGGGACGAGTAGCCCAGAGCCACCTTTCTTTCTCTCTGATAAGTGATTCTTATTTTCTTGCTCAAACCTTTGTGGCTCTGTTAACGAGTGTATAAGTGGACATCAGGAAGCTCATCAGGATGGCAGCAAGTGAAAAGTTTGACCCTTTCCATGGCTATTTGATGGAGGCTGAAATTTCAAGTCAAAAGTCAGACATAGAGCAAATAACCAAACAGGAGCAATGAAAACTGACATTAGTTTTAGCAAACAGAGACGAGGAGCAAAAGCCAGCCTAAATTGATATTTTGTGATAGACATCAAAGACTGGTGGAGTCATGTCATACTTTTAGGTTGGCAAATGTTGAGAAATATTTCAAATTCATTAGGCAAAAGAAACTCTGTCAAAATTATTTCTCTAGCTTTCATCTTTCTTTTTGTCACAAATTATAATTGCTTTTTCTATTTTCGAATTTTTATCCAATTATCTGACTTCATAGCTAGATACACTATGCATGCCCCGCAGATAATAGACACTCAACAATATCAGCTTTTCGGCCGGCAAGACTGGCTCAGATTGCCATGGAGGACTTAAGCAGCAAAATCAATTTAGTGTCTGAAAAGTAACAATGGTGTTTGCAGCTTTGATCAAGGACTGACAAAAGTATAGTTTTTACGCAGAAGCAAATTGGTCAAGACTTAAGGCCAGGTTACACAATCACTTTTTACCATCACTTTTTTTGATATTGGACTAACATGCTGAAAAGTGATCGTGAAGCATACTAAAATTTTCCATTTTCGCTGCGGAATTTAATGCGCTTATCAGGTGTTAATCCTCAATAAATGGAAATTTTACTCTGAATGAAAGCAGAGTAAAATCGAGTTCCTCACTTTTTTTAAAGGCGCAGACAAATTCTCATGTCATATAATGTTTTGATGAGAAGGGAAGGGCCTAGAGTTTTGAGAAAAGAAGAAAGAGACGTGAATTGTGCTCAAAACATAATTATTAGCAGAAAACGAATATGAATAAGGATTTGGAGTAAATCGAAGAGCAGCACATTACAGAAAGATGAATGCAGTTTAATAAAATACATTCATTTTTATAAGAAACCAACCTCAACATTGAGTACACGAGTTTCTTAAGGTTCAAAAAGTTTCAGTATTCAAGAGTTTTTGAAATGTTTCTATTCATTCCCAAAAACAAGAGCCTTGAAACTTTAAATTTGGTTTGCTGATCACTGTGTATTTTTATACTTTTTGTAAGTTTGTAGTGTAGAAGTAAGTTTAGTCAAAATTAGCAATAGAAAATCTAGAAAATTCTTGATTTTTGCTTGTTCAATCTAAATCAGTTTCTTAAGTTGTTTTTAGCTGGAGTATTGGAGTTTCC